AAGATCTTCAGCAACCCTGAGGTTGTTGCGGAGGAGCCATGGTAATATCATTATTTCAATTAATTGTTGCTTAGTTTTTAAAACATATCATAAGAGCCATTGTTACTCTACTGATTTAGGTTTGGCATTGAGCAAGAGTACACTCTTTTTCAGAAGGATACTAAATGGCCTCTTGGGTGGCCGGTCGGAGGGTATCCCGGGCCACAGGTAAGTACCACATTCTGAAACTCAAGAAATCGATTCAAACTGAATAGTTATCAATCCCATTACTAAATTTTGTTATCCATATGCACGAAGGGCCCGTACTACTGCGGAGTTGGCGCGGACAAAGCATTCGGCCGAGACATTGTGGACGCACATTACAAGGCCTGCCTTTATGCTGGCATTAACATCAGTGGCATCAATGGCGAAGTCATGCCTGGTCAGGTATGTTTTGTTTCTTCTTTCTTATTTAGAAGGCTGTTCTTGTTTGATCCATTTAGTTACCTGGATTCTTCGTTTTCATTAAAAATATATGTGATATCTAATCTCGAATCATCTCAATAATAGAAATATGTCGTTAATTCTTACTCAAATTGAACATTTTCTCTAATATTTACCATGAAATATCTTAGGACTCGTCTCTTGTCATCTTATTGTGTTAAATAGTGGGAATTCCAAGTTGGTCCAGTTTGTGGGATTTCTTCGGGGGATCAAGTATGGATGGCTCGATACATACTCGAGGTATGATCAATGTTTTAAAATTCGACTCGACTCGATCTTTTTATATTTATAACATCTTTAATATTGATTGTCTTCTTAATTTTAAAACAGCGAATCACTGAAATGGCGGGAGCTGTTCTTTCGTTTGATCCGAAACCAATTTCGGTTTGTTTCGATGCCTACATTCTTAATTCATTTCTCCCCTTCGTTTTTGTTTTAATTTGCTTCATATTTCCCTCAACTAGGGTGACTGGAACGGTGCTGGCGCTCATACTAATTACAGGTACGCACCAAATTAATCCAACTCGAACTCAAATTACTTTATTCAAATTTAACGGTAAATTACACGTTAGGTACATAAACTATTAGTTTTAATTCATTTTAATACCTAAACTTTTAATTTTTTCAAAACCATACCTAAAGTTTAGTTTTTATTTCATTTTAGTACCCGTTCAAAATTTAACATTAAGTTTTGAAAAAAATATATGAAAGTTTAGTATGAAAACGGATAAAACTGATAGTTTAAGTACTAAATACGTTAAATTTAGGTATTAAAACATACCAAAACTAATAGTTTAGGTACTAAATATGTAGTTTACCCTAAATTTAAGTATAAACTATTTTTTTGAAGGGATCTTTTTTAATATCTATGCAAAGCAGATAATAACCCGATTTTTCCATGGATAAGTTTACTTCCTAACAGGGAAAAAAGGTGTTCAAAGATCAGATTTTAGTTTGAGAATTTTAGAAATTTTTATTTGAATTTAATTTAAATTTATTTGAATCAAATTGTTTAAGGTTATAATAAATATTTGGTCCGAAAATCAGTCGATTCTGTTTTTCTCAGTACAAAATCAATGAGAAACGATGATGGGATCCAAGTGATAAAAAAGGCGATCGAGAAGTTAAGTAAACGTCACAAAGAGCACATTGCAGCTTATGGTAAGGGCAACGAGAGACGCCTAACGGGTCTCCACGAGACTGCCGATATCAATACTTTCTCTTGGGTAAGGTTATATTATCAAATCCGCACTGTTACTAAATTGTTCGAATAATAGTATGTTTTGGTTAGTTTTCGATTTTAAATAGTATCGAATTCAATTCAATCGCTTATAATATCCACGACATTCGATTCTATTTTGATTTGATTTTGAACCTTTAATCGGATCAGTTCTCTTACAATAACGATGTATGTACTCTATAGGGTGTTGCAAACAGGGGAGCCTCAGTCCGTGTTGGTCGTGACACAGAGAAAGCCGGAAAAGGTAACAATCCTCTTCTTTGTTTATTCTCAATCTTAAAAAAAATGGATAAACTACAAATTTAGTACCTAGACTATCAGTTTTAGTATATAAACTTTTAATTTTTTCAAAATCATATCTAATATTTAGTTTTTATTTTATTTTAGTACTCTGCTATTAAAAACTTTACTTGTTTATCTGTTTTAATCTGTTTTAGTACTTAAAGTTTCAATTTTTTCAGAACTTAACGTTAAATTTTGAACATGTACTAAAATGAAACAAACATTAAAGTTTTTAACGGTGGGATACTGAAATAAAACAAAAATTTAATTTTATATATGATTTTGAAAAAAATCAAAAGTTTAACTATTAAAATTGATAATTCAGGTACTAAATGTGTAATTTACTACAAAAAATAATTTTCTCATTAGTCTTTATGGAATATTTTATTGAAAATGTAATGGATAGGCTACTTCGAAGATCGAAGGCCATCGTCAAACATGGATCCTTACATTGTGACATCAATGATAGCCGAAACCACCATTCTATGGAAGCCTTAAAGTGAGCTTGAAATTGGATGCATTGGATTGATTATACAAATTTGTTTTTTCATTGCATTTAATTACAAAGTTGCGTTTCGATCTGTTTGAATAGTTTTCTTTTTGATGGTTTCTGCCTATTTTGATAGTTCGAACACATGAACTAAATAGTTGATTTTGATGGTTCGAACACATGAACTAAATAGTTTCTTAAATAAAAGGAGTAGTTTATTTATTTTTTATTATAATAATCTCTTTTAATTTTAAATTTTGAAAAATTAAGAGTAAAATACACAAATGGTCTCGATTATAGGGTGTTCTTTTATTAAAATATTAATTATTAAAAATTACAAAATTATTATCCGACTATTCATTATGTTATAAATTTGTCATTTTCTATTAAAAAGATTTCGGTCGTTTCAGCATGATGTTAATATGATTGAGATATGATAGTCGTTTGAGATTCTGATATCATATTTTATCATATCACAATCAATAGATTAATAATAAGCTAAGAATATTGTTACTTTTTTAACGGAAAAATGATGAGTTTGGAATATATGAATAGTCGATGGACCATTTTATAACTTTTAATAGTCGATGGACTCAACAAAATAACACTCTATGTTCAAAAGGCCATTGTGTAACTTTTTTTTGTTTCCCTTCCGGTTCTTAAGGTTTTACCTTGGCTAATCTAGATTGACTTGGGTCGCACAACTGACTTTGGTGGATGAGTCTTATGGCGGAGACTTTCTGCATTCACAAAGGCTCGAACTCGAGATCTACTTAAGAGTAATTAAACTGCTTATCACTTGAACCAATATTTGTTGGTATCATTTTATAATTTTTAATAGTCATGAACTAATAAAATATCTTATAATTAAATGATCATTAATATACTTTACCTAAAAAATTAATTTTTAAGAGGGTTTATTTTGTTTTTTTTATTAATTTTAAAAATAACTAATTAATTACAACTTTGATACTTTTTATTTCATATATTATATTAATCTGGTCACAATCTTACAAAATCCAACACGCGATTCACATATTACATAAATATTTATTAAATCTGATTATCTTTGAAGATAAATGACAACATTTAGACATGTATACGTTAATTACTAGCTTTATTATTATATAAAGGGTAAAGTACACAAATGGTCCCCAACTATAGATACTGCTTTATTAAGTCCCTTAACTAACAAATATTACAAAATAGTCCTCCAACTATATAGTGTTACTTTGTTAAGTTCCTAAACTATTGAAAATTACAGAAAGACCCTAATTATAGAATGTTTGTCACTTGACTATTCATTATATTCCAAACTCATTATTTATTATGTTACGAAATGGTCACTTGATAAAATGGTAACCGTGCACTAATGATAAATTGAATAAATATCATTTTTTTATTGATTCGAACGAGTTTCAATTCCCTTGATTTTAAGTCTCATATCCTTATTTATTCTTAGGTATGACATGAAATGTTGACAATATTTTTTTTAACTTTCCGGTTCCAAAGTTTTGCCTTAATTAGTCTAGACCAATCCGTGTTACACATTTGATTTTGGTAGGTGAGTCTCTCAATATAGATTTTCTACATACACAATGACTCGAGAACCTGAGACCTTGCTTAAACAAAATCAAGCTTATTACTACTTGAACTAATCCCCGATGATGAAATGTTGATAATATTGTTCCATAAAATATCTAATTAATTTTAATATAATATATGATTAATTTTATTAATAGTGAAAATATTAAAATTCAACTGCGAATGATTTTGATTTTATTTAATAAATTAATGCATTTCTTATTCTTGTCTTTGAGACTCTCATAAAATAATTCTCAACTTTTTTCCCTTAAAAGCTAAATTTATCATTAAATTTAATAAATACTTTGAATATATGTGGTCATAATTATAACACAACAATAAGTAGAAAATAGCCTATAATCCTTGTAAAAACAGCTAAAATATAATAGGGTAAAAAACGTAAACGGTGTTCCGATTATAAGGTGCTCCCTTATTAAGTACCTCAACTATAAAACATTATAAAATGATAATTCAACTACATAATGTTGCTATGTTGAGTTTCTGAAATATTAAAAGTTATAAAATGATTATTCAACTATTTATAATGTTTCAAACTTACCATTTTCATTAAAAAATGGATTAACTTATTGACCGTGATATGATAAATTTTGATCTCAAAATCTTAAACGACTATTATATCATAGTCATCACGTTAACATTCAGCTTAAACATCCTCAATTTTTAACAAAAAATGATAAATCTAAAACATAATAAATAATCAAATAATGATTTTATAACTTTTAATAATTTAAAAAATTAATAAAATAATATTTTATAATAAAAAATTATTAGTAGGATCATTATTATCACCTCCAAATTCCAACCAAATACGACATCGCATCATTGATAATAACCGGTCCATTTGGCTCAATTTTCATTCTATCTTCCCTCGTTTTCTTTTCCTTTCGTTTCCTTTTCTGCGTTATGGAGTCTGCCCTCATCGCTGGATTCCTCATTCGATCCTCAACACTGTCGTCTAAACATGGAGCATTTCTTCCAGTCTTCCTTTAAACAGCGAGCGCCCGCTTTTGTTTCTCATTTCTGAAAAAAAAACGAAGAAGAAGAAGGATACGGACGTAGAGCAATGTCTCGCCAACCGGTTATTTCCCCTTTCCCCAAATCCAAAACTTTGGACAACAAATACGTAAGTCAATTTCCATAATTCGATATTTTTTCCTGTTTTTAATCTTCATGTTATTACCTGTTCGTTCGTTTTAGAATCTTTAGAAAACGAACAGAAAATCGGAAATCAGAAAGAGAACTCGAATTTTGAAATATGTGCTCTCAATTTTCTGTTTTCAGGCTATAGTTTTTTTTATTAAACAATATGATTCGGATGCAAATTACTTTTCAATTTGTTGACGGAAGAAAGTTAATTTTGTTTTTTTTAATTCTCGAAAATTGGAAGCTAAGTTTCTTCTCGCGATAATTTTTCTTCCTTATTTTTTTTGTTAATTATTTACTGCAATCTTGATGTTTCTGTGTTGTGTTCTCTTTTTGAATAGATGCTTGGAGATGAAATTGGGAAAGGTGCATATGGACGTGTTTATAAAGGCTTGGATTTGGAGAATGGTGACTTTGTTGCAATTAAACAAGTTTCTTTGGAGAATATTGTTCAGGAGGACCTAAATGTCATAATGGTTTGGTTTTATATTTCTTTTATTTCTGAATTTTAACTGCTTAAATCAATATATGGTTTTGCTAGTGCACTAGTATTGCTTGATAGATAGGATTTAGCCATGTTGGTTTGCATATTAGTAGTTATGTCCATCTGTTAAACTCCAGTCAGGTTTTCTACTGCTTTTTTATTGTTATATAGGTTATACTATGTTTTCAGGCATTATGATGGATGAAAGATTATTTGAACATATATTTTTGGGTTGATCTGGTTCTTAGTTTTTATTATGGTTTCCATTAATTTTTATTTGCCAAAAAGAAGCAATCTAACTTTGTTTTTCATGATAATCTGTAGTCTGTTCTCTGGATATATATAGCTTGATTTATTTTGATAAGCATGTTTGTATCAAAGCTACTTATGACTCGCTACACTTAAAAATGTATTTGTCTTGACCACTTCAAAGACCTGCTCATGTACATCAGTTGCATCTTATTAACAGAAAATCTTAAGTGTAAGCAATTGGGATTCTGGATTTTAGTATTTGAAAATATTCTCAGTACTTATAAATTGGTTTTAATGAATATGTAACTGTTTTCCGGGAGTCAATAAAATTGCCTTGTCCCTATGAAATCTGTTGTTTTTATTCAGAGTGCATTTATCATTCTAGTCCTTGATTACTTAGTATTTAACTTATATGTCAAATATTTTTTAAAGGTTAGGTGATAGGCATGTACAATTGAAACAATTTTTTTATTTATTCTGTATTCATATTTGGTCCATAGGAATGCTACATTTGAAGCATGCATTTACTGTTACTAGTTTCTGTAGCATTAATAAGGCTGACAAGTTGCTATTTCTTTTGAATGCTCTTGGCCGGTGGAATGGCTTAACATTGCAGCAAGAGATCGATTTGTTGAAGGTAACTTTTTTAAGTATTGGTGCTTTATGTACTTTTCTCTTGCTGTATTGCTACCTCAAATTGCTCACATGCAGATCCGGTGGACATCAGTTTTCTGTATGTGCACTAAAGATGTCTCACTGTCTGCTGGCTGTGTTGCAATTGTCTTGCCTAATCCCATATTTGTTGTTTACCGGTCATCTTCCATTCTCCATGGTAGTTGTATGCAGCTGGCTGGATAATGCTAATTAAAACTTGAAACTCTTTGCAGAATTTGAACCATAAGAACATTGTGAAGTATCTTGGGTCATCAAAGACAAAGACTCACCTGCATATAATTCTTGAGTATGCAATCTTACATTGCGATTGGAGTATTCTCTGAGCTGTTAGGAACTTGTAGTTACTGCTTTTACATTTCTATAGGTATGTGGAAAATGGTTCGCTTGCAAACATTATCAAGCCTAATAAATTTGGGCCGTTTCCAGAATCTTTGGTGGCCGTTTATATTGCTCAGGTTTGTTTGTATTTCTGCATTTATTGCTTCATTTTTCTGTAAAGTATCATTGAATATGCTACTTGCTAATCAGGTTTTGGAAGGTTTGGTTTATCTACATGAACAAGGTGTTATTCATCGGGATATTAAAGGTGCTAATATTCTGACGACTAAAGAGGTAACCTAACAACTATTTCTATATCCTTAGTGAGTTTTATTACTATTCCAGTGTCATTTTTTAGTGATTATATTTTGATAAATTTGAACATGGTGACAAAGATACTGTTTGGCTTCCTTAATATTGGGCTATCTAGACAAATTGCATTTGAATTCATATGTTTCTTTTTACTTTGGCTACTTACTTATGTGCTGAAAAATATGCTAAGATAAATGAAATTGAATTGCTCAACTTTCCTTGAGTGAAACACCTGCAGACTGCTGAATTTTGGGCCATATTTTATTGCCTCACCTCAGTGTCCTCGGTTGTGCAGATTCATTATAGTCACCATAATGTTTTATCACAATTTTGTGTTAAGATTGGTTTTGATTGTTTTTTCATTAGGTGTGGAGTGTGGAATCTCTTGGTTCCCCCCCCCCCAACTTACCCTTGACTTGATTTCTCTTTTCAGGGTCTGGTGAAACTTGCAGATTTTGGTGTTGCAACGAAACTAACTGAGGCTGATGTTAACACACACTCAGTTGTTGGAACACCATATTGGATGGCCCCAGAGGTACCGATAATTGGAATGTGGCTATTAATTGTCTATCCTGTTACTTTTCTCCATGTTTTCGTGTTTGTTATTTTAGGTATATATTGGATGCTTTTCTTACAGGTTAAATCATATTTCAGGTGATTGAAATGTCAGGGGTTTGTGCGGCTTCTGACATTTGGAGTGTTGGCTGTACTGTGATTGAACTCCTTACATGCGTACCTCCATACTATGATCTGCAGCCTATGCCAGCTCTCTTTCGGATTGTGCAGGTTTTGTCTATATCTGTGCAGTTTACTTTGGTCAGTTTATAATCATAAGAGTAAATTCTTCCTATCTGAGTTTCTCTGTTTCTTTCTATCCTTTATCTACTCTCCCTATTGTTTCACATTCCATATTTGCATAGTGTTTTCACTTTTCTCTGCCGGAGAAAGCTTTAGCAAGTTCATTTTTTGCCTCGTCTTAAATTGTTCTTTATACATATACATGTGTGTGTTTTCCATGTGTATCTTCCTCTCAGGATGAGCATCCACCAATACCTGATAGCCTATCTCCAGACATTACTGATTTTCTGCGCCAGTGCTTTAAGAAGGTATGGAAGAAATGACCCTCCAATTTTGTATATTATTTTCTGATCTTTCTAAAGTGTGTCATGCATGAGACATGCTTGGTTTTGCAACAGATGGAATACTCTTAGTTATTAGTCAGGAAAAATCTGTTTTGATGGGAATGAGGCTTCTTTTGATCTTATAACTTTGGAGTCCACAAAGACCAAAAGCAATTGGTGACACTCTTGAAGTTATACAATGAGTAGTGAACATTCTTCTAGCCATAAAATCTTGAGGTGGGAGCCACCATCAAAATGAAATGAAATTAACAAAATGGAAGTAAAATATAATATCTTGATAAATTTCATAGACTCATTGAAAGTCATGTGGCTAATAGAATATATGGCCGTCTATCTTTGTGCTTAGCTTATAAGATAACCACTGGAGTTCAGTGGACGTGAACCAATGTGATGATTGTTGCTGATCAAACCATCACAAATCTTCACTTGACCCCATTAAAGTCATTGATAATTTGTTAACTTGTTAAATGAGGCTTCATTGATTTTTCAGGATGCCAGACAGAGGCCTGATGCAAAAAGGCTTCTTTCTCACCCTTGGATACGGAATTGCAGACGTGCTTTGCAGTCTTCTTTGCGTCGTGGAACCATTAGGTATATATGCTACAGTAGGTGTGTGTAATTTATTTTGGGAGTTTCCTTGGGATTTTGTCAGTCTTCTCCATTCATGAATTAATGTGCTATGTGGTCTCCCTTATCACCTAAACACCTACAATCACTGATCTGATCGAATAATCAGTGTTCTGATTGATTTTAATCTAAATTATTTTTCACATCTATTTGTGTGTTTAGGATTTTTTTTTGTTTTACAAGATATCTACAATTTGTTTTTGCTTTTCTATTCTTTATTTTAATCATGCAAATAATATATTGGTTGATGGATCTAATATTTATTGTACATATACATGTGCTTTGTTGTCAGCCTTACATCTTGTTTTACTCTTGCAAGCCTCTCTGAGGTAATTTGTTTATGTTGCCATATTTTGTTCTGAAAGCCAAAATGTAATTCAATTTCCGTACTAAATTATGAGTACACATCTGCTTTTAAATATTTCTACTATAAACTTGCTATGCATGTTACAAGTGGCTTTAGCATTATATTCATTTCTATGATACATTCCTTTGTTCTGACTTGCCATTAATATTGGTCTTTTTCCCTTCATATTTTAAGCAGCTTATAAAAGATATCAAAACCCTACATTTTGCTGATCATTAATTCCCCGGCAGAAACATAATGGAAGAAGTTGCAGCAGATGTAGAAACCTCTAATGCAGATAATAAGAGTGCTGAAGAGAGTCTTCCTGCGGAGAAAGTAGAGGCATCTGAATCAGTGAGGACTTCTTCAACCTTTACCTTTTTTTGGAAGCAAGTCTTAGCTGAAGTTAAAAGCTACAAGAGGAATATCTTATTAAAGAAAATTTGAAATTGATAATGAATTAATTTTTTGATTGTTAGGGCTCTAGGAAAGAGGTATCATTAACGGAGGCCACTGATCGAAGCAAGTATGATCATGATCATTCTGCAGATAATACTCCGATTGAAGAAATGATGAATAATTTAGATGATGATCTACAATCAGATCAGGTTCCAACCTTAGCCATTCATGAGAAACCACCATTACAGAGTAGTCCTGGTGGACTCCCTTTTAAAAATGTAGTGGCTGCCCTCAGTTCTGGTCAGCATAATGAGATATCCCATCGAGATGAAGCGATGATGAATGGTAATGTTGTCTCACCATCAAGAAGGAAATATATGGAAAAAGGACAGGGAGTCAGAGGGGATCAAATTGATAATGCGAATAAGTCATTTGGTTTTGTACCTATAACTCAGAATGCTGGTCTTCAAAAGGTACTGCTTCATGCAATGGTGCTAGTTTCTGAAATAATTAAATTGTTAGATTTATAATTTTTATATTTGTTTACCTTGAAGTTTCTGTCATGCATTGCTCAGAGATTTCTATGCACGTTTTCATGTGAATTCTAAGTTGCATGCTTGTATACTTGTATTGGTTGAATTATCTTGGTTTCTCTTACATCATGAACCATATATCTCTATGAAATATCTTCTCCGCTTCTATGGTTTGGTTAAAGAAAAAAGCTGTTCTTCTAGATTTTAAATATGTACGGGAAACTTACCAACTAATGCACATGTTTTCTTGTTGTTGCTTAGATCATATTTATAGTGATAGCGATAATGGTGAGTTTTCTTTTATCTCCTGGACCTCTTTTTCCTCTGGAGAATGTTTATTAGTGGTCCTTAAGTTTCTGGATTCTTTGAAATATTATCTATGATTCTCTTGTGTAAATTCTCTATCAAATCTATGCACTACTTGTCACATTTTACCATTCACCTTTGTGACCTTTTTTGGTTTCCTTACCCATGTAAAAGTGGAATCTTACAATTTGACTCCAACATTTTAAGGCTACAAAACCTTCCGTGACCTCAACTGGGAATGAGCTAATTAGATTTAGTGATCCTCCTGGAGATGCTTCCTTGGATGACTTATTTCATCCATTGGATAAAAATGTGGAGAGAAGATCAACTGAAGCTTCAACGTCTTCATCTGCATCAAATGTGAACCAAGGTATTGTGCCTGATACTGGAAAAAATGACCTGGCTAAGAAGTTAAGAGATACAATTGCTAAGAAACAAATGGAAGAGGAAATGGGTCAGTCAAATGGTGGTGGTAACCTGCTTCGCTTAATGATGGGTGTTTTGAAGGATGATGTAATTGACATTGATGGTTTGGTATGTTAAAAATAATACTTGCTCTGTATGTTTTGAGTGCAATGTTTATGTGATGCCGTAAGACATTAACCTAATGATGTTTTCTATTGTTTATTGTGTTCTTGTGGCCAGGATTTTGATGATAAATTACCCGCTGAGAACCTATTTCCCTTACAGGTACCTATCATCACTAGTAAATAGTGGACTTAAATTCTTTTATCTGTAATGGAATCCTCTTATATAACCTGTTTTTTCTTCTTCCTGTTGGGCAATACACCTTTTATTTCAAAGTATATTGAGGCTTTCTAATCTATTATTGTTACGATGCTTACTGTAGTTTGGCAACCTGATTCTAATATGTTATTAAAACTTTTATACTGCTCAGCATGTGCAGCATTTTATTAGAGTTTTCCAATTATATCTATATTGATAGTTGAATTTTCAAAGCTTCCGACTACAACAGGATTTCAATTCAACCTTGGTGGTTGCTATCACAATTTTTAATGTATACATGTGTCAAATTTATGTATCTGAATCTATCTTCATATTTCATCTCCAAAACACTACAAATTAAAAATTTTACTTTCTGCTATTCTTAAGTGAAGGTTTAGTTGTTCAAGTTTTAAGTTTCTTTTGCGGTTGCTTTTATTTATCCATTATTAATGGATGTCACCCATGTGTCTTGATGTTAAGTTCAATCTTGTAAATTCAAATTTTAAAAATCTTTGTATTGAAAATTATAATAGACTGTTTACTGCCACCTTTTGCTATGTGTACTGCATTCTTTTCTTTGTCTTCTTTGTCATACAATTTAGTTTAATTGCCTGTCTCATGGCAAGTGGATACTCAAACCTATTATTATTTTTCCATTGCTGATACTCCTAGGCTTTGTGAATACTAAGTAGGTTATTTTAGGAGTTCCCCCCCCCCCCCGAGATTTATGACTGAAGTTATATTTCTGATATCATAAGGGAAAGATATGATTTTGTAACTAAAATAATGAATTTGTCCCAGTACTTATCTGATTCTTGGCATCCTCTCCATCTCTACGTTTTGAATTTCTTTCTATTGAATTGTTTATTTGGAAAATTTCTTTTGTTATTGTTGTTTCTGGTGGAGAGATTTAAAAGCTTATTTTCGTTTTGTGCTATAGGCAGTTGAGTTCAGCAGATTAGTTGGCTCACTAAGAACGGAGGAATCAGAGGATGCAATAGTTACTGCGTGTCAGAAGCTCATAGCGATCTTCCACCAGCGTCCTGAACAAAAAATTGTTTTTGTCCGCCAGCGTGGTTTACTGCCTCTAATGGAATTGCTTGATGTCCCAAAAACTCGTGTATGTCAATAATGAGGCTCTCCTCCTCTCTCCACCTAGGCCCACACCATATTTTTAAAAAATAAATCAAAAAGAAAAAAGAAAAAAGAAAAAGATAACCTCCCTCTTTCAGTCTTCCTAGCTAGAAAAGGGGTAAAAGAGAAAGTTACTAGATTGGTACCAATGCTTATTGGCTTGGCAAGTACCAACTGACAATGTTAATGTTTATTGCAATTGCAGGTTACATGTTTTTGCTCATAGGCTGGGACCTAAAAGAGAGTTCTATTTCATTTTCCTCCCCTCTATGGGTAACAATATCATGGAATTTTCAGGACATGTGCTGTCCTCTTGTTCTGTACTAATGCCTATTAACATTAGAACTCCTCAGGTGTTGGTGGAGAGAGTCAACTGTTAATGAGGCATCTCCATAGTTTTTAGAATCCTTTGGTTGTAATTTATGTGAGTAAAGGTTCTTGTTTGCATATATGTTTCAGTTGTGCTTTTGTCACTTTGGGTTGATCTTTTGAACTGAAATGAGCTAGCGGAGGGAAAGAGTAATTATATTGTAGTATTTATACCGTTTTATTCACTTTCAAGTTACATTATAGATCCCTTTGGTTATGAGTTTTGCGGGGCCTGATCGTCCTCAAGAAATTAGGATGGAGGCAGCTTATTTCTTGCAGGAACTTTGTCAGTCAAGGTGTTGAGTCTTCTCTATTTATTTATGTTGCTTAATATCGCTTTTAATTGACAGAAATGAATTATACTGACCATATTAATTCTTCTCTATAGCTCATTAACTTTGCAGATGTTCGTAGCTTGCCGTGGAATCCCTGTTTTGGTTGGCTTTTTAGAGGCTGATTATGCAAAGTACAGGTTTGTGTGCAAGTTTGTTGGTGTAATCATAGATGATAGGCATTGTAGTGTAAGACGGATGATGACTGTATACTATTTTGGAAGCTCTAAAACCAATTTCTGAAAATTATTATTCTCGACTTTATGATGCACTCTATCCAATTTTTTATTCTTCTACCCCTTCTCCCTTTTGAATTTTTATGTTTTTAAATGCTCCGGTGTGTTTGCTTTCTATACTTGAAAAAAATGCTCATTACGTGCTCCTTACACAGGGAAATGGTTCACCTAGCAATTGATGGCATGTGGCAGGTCTTCAAGCTTCAGCGATCAACCCCGAGGAATGATTTCTGCCGGATAGCTGCTAAGAATGGGATATTATTTAGGCTTATTAATACTCTTTACAGTTTAAATGAGGCAGCTCGACTTGTAGATGGTTCAGTTCAACGACAGCATTCTGGTCGATTAGATTCCGGTTATCCTCTGTTTGCCCAGAATGAGATTTCAGTCTTGGTAACTGATCAATCTGATATCCATAAAGTGAGGCATGGAAAGACTGAGTATTCCTTTCCAGCTGGAGCAATAGAACCTTCACGGGCTTCAACTTCCCATTCTCAGAGGTCAGATACTAATCTGCCAGATTCACGTTATCTTGCTGTTGATGGAGACAGACCTCGATCTAGCAATGGGACATTAGATGTTTCAGTTTCCAGAGAATCTTCAGCTTCCAGAGAGAAAGATAATTTGGATAGATGGAAACTTGATCCTGATAGAGCAGAGGACCTCAGGCGGCAGAAGGTAAGTAACTTTAAGAACAGGACGTCTTTGGACAGACCTTCAAATGGATATCCAACTTCAGTAACTACCTCGGTAGAGCAAGTTCGACCTCTTCTTAGCTTGTTAGACAAGGAGCCTCCTAAACAGCAATTGGAGTATGTGTGCCATCTGCCCGGGTTGGAAAAACACGAAAGCATACTGCCTCTGCTACATGCTAATGACAGAAAAACCAATGGTGAACTGGATTTCTTGATGGCTGAATTTGCAGGTACCCATTCATGCTTGATTTGATCTGCTGCTCAATGCTTTCTCTAGAAGTTAAAAATATGTAAATGGATGACCGTTTGTTTCCATAACCGCATTATCATTGGCACTTGGTGAAATTCTTGAGAGATTACACCAGAAATACTAGCTTAACATGAGACATTTTGATTCATGCTGCCTTTAAATGGGAGTTGTGCAATTCCACCGAGCTTTTTATTTGTTAAGACAATTATTTTACTTATTGAAGCCTGGGAGTTTCTTTATGGTTTCAGAGGTCTCCGGCCGTGGAAAAGAAACTGGAATTGTTGATTCTACACCTAGATTTTCACATAGAACATCGAGTAGGAAATTTGGGCAAGTAGCTGTTAGTGAAGGAACAGTGTCGACATCCGGTATAACTTCTCAGACTGCATCAGGTGTATTATCTGGCTCAGGTGTTTTAAGTGCTAGAGCTGGAAGTGCAACATCATCAGGGTTGCTCTCCAACATGGTATCAACAATGAATGCAGATGTTGCCAAGGAGTACCTTGAAAAGGTGGCAGACCTACTTCTTGAGTTTGCTCAAGCTGATACAACAGTTAAATCCTACATGTGTAGCCAAAGTTTGCTTAACCGTCTTTTCCAGATGTTTAATCGCATAGAACCACCTATTCTTTTAAAGGTACCTAAACTATTTTGGCTTCCCGTTTTATATTTTGGTGTGTTTAATCATCATGCATGCTTTGTACTCACCTCCAATTATCATTTTTCTTAGATGCTGAAGTGTATTAATCATTTGTCCATGGATCCAAACTGCTTGGAGAATCTTCAGCGAGCAGATGCAATTAAGTATTTGATCCCAAATCTAGAACTCGAATGTGGACTACTTGTATCTCAAATGCATCATGAGGTTTTGCCTTATTATCCTTGATCATTATTATGTCTTATGATGCATTTACTAGCAAATCTCGTATATCTGGTGTGCTCAAATTATCAGCTGTGATTATTTGAGACTTTAAAGACCTTGTTCAGTCGTTCTTGTGTCTTATTCTAATTTCATAACTTTGTCTGCATTATTTCCCTCTCTCCGTGTTTGGTAGTTGTGTCATGGATTTAATTCGGAATAATGTTGACCGACTTCATAAAATGATATTCTGTGTTACCTTCCTTAATAGGGAAGGATGTTTCATTATTAGGGAACAACTATTTTAGGAAAAAGAAAATATTATTTAGTTACAAATCAGATTTTATTCAAAGCCCCAAAATGATATTGATCTCTCTTTTAACGAGCCCCAAGTTTTCAGCCTCCCTTGGATGAGCTGAAACATTTCAGTCCCATTTGGATGAGTTGAACTATCATTCCAAAACACAAGATTGTAACATGCTGGCACCCACCAGATGTTTTAGAAAATACTATAAATTAGTATTTGTGCTATTGATCCTATTAATTATATTATTTATTCTCCATTTTCGTACTCTTTTGCTGGGTGATTGGCATACAAATGTGTACACTGCAGCTTTAAATCACGAGACGTCTTTCTGTCTAATGTTCTGTTATCCGATCATTATTACATTAGATTGTGTTGAATTTTCACTCTTTGTGCTGGTGCTAGTGGGCTTTGAAATTATAATGATAATGATAATTTCTTTATCTTCTGAAGGTCCTCAATGCACTGTTCAACTTGTGCAAGATAAATAAGAGGAGACAGGAACAAGCAGCAGAAAACGGAATCATTCCGCATTTGATGAAATTCATAATGTCAGATTCTCCCTTAAAACAACATGCATTGCCGCTACTGTGTGACATGGCTCATGCATCACGTAATTCAAGGGAACAGTTGAGGGCGCATGGTGGATTGGATGTGTACTTGAGCTTGCTTGATGACGAGATTTGGTCTGTGACGGCGCTAGACTCACTTGCTGTTTGCTTGGCTCATGACAATGACAATCGCAAGGTTGAACAAGCCTTACTGAAGAAGGAAGCAATCCAGAAGTTGGTGAAATTTTTCCAGTGTTGTCCGGAGAGACACTTTGTCCACATATTGGACCCGTTCTTGAAAATTATCACGTACGAGATGCTAACCCTTCGGTTATTTTCTTAGTTCTTTTAAGAGCATGCAGTGTATTTATTGATTGGATTATTGATGGTTAAAGACCAATACGAGAACATCCTCAGCCATTTCTCTGGTATATATGGAAAATTGGGTTCTAAGTTGACACTATTTATTTCTGTGAATGCAGGAAATCGTCCCGTATAAACACAACATTAGCTGTAAATGGTTTGACGCCGCTTCTAGTCTCAAGGTTGGATCACCAGGACGCCATTGCTCGCCTTAATCTACTTAAACTAATTAAGGTCAGTACAATCCTTTCCCATGTCAGAATCTGTCCTATCGATTTTGTTTACAGATCACTTGAATCTATTCCAGATCCTTCAATCAAAATTTGTCTCTCGAGGTCCATTAAGGTGGTTCATTTTCTTGTTACATACCATTAGGAAGCTCCTGATTCGAGCTAAACAAACAAACGTGTTTCCCTTTGTTAATCATTTAAGTGGGAGAAACCGTTGGGTGGGAAATGTTCGCCATGATTGTTAGTTCCACCTTTACTATGCTGTTTGACTCGGGAAATATATCAATGGGATTTGGGTTTCAGGTCAGTTTTATTGTTATAGTATTAAGTCGGTTTGGGTCGTTAAAAAAAAACTCGCCCTTTGCCATCCCTATGAAAAAAAGGGGTAGTTTACGAGTAGAGAATATGGTTTTAAGACCTTAATCTCATGCAGTATTGATGCAAGGATATATTATTAACTCGAGCACTTAGAAAGAAACCAGCATCGTTGTGCAGTTGTGGGGTTCATAACTTGTGCCTAGTGATGCATTAAGATGAGGGTTATCTTGAACAATTCGATCTGATTTCTTCTGGTGTTGGCAGTCGGTTTACGAGCACCACCCTCGACCGAAACAGTTGATCGTTGAGAATGATTTACCACAGAAGTTGCAGAATCTAATCGAGGAACGGAGAGACGGGCAGCGTTCCGGAGGCCAAGTGTTGGTGAAACAAATGGCGACTTCATTGCTCAAAGCCCTTCATATTAACACCGTCTTGTAAGAAAAAAACTTAACTGATTCCTCCCTCCTATGTATATGTTTTATTGTTTTTTTTTTAATTTTTATTTTCGACCAATTACTTGGTCACGTCTAGATTGTCAGCAGGGTATAGGAAATGATTTTAAATTGGCTTATTTTAAATGTAAGTATTTAAAGTATATTTTTTGTTGCTACAGTAGATGTATAAGGTTTAGGGTAAATTATGTATTTAGTATCTAAACTATCAATTTTGAATCGTTTTAGTATCTAAATTTTTAATTTCTTTAAAATCATACCTATTAGTTAGTTTTTATTTCATTTTAGTTCCCAACTGTTAAAAACTACTAAACTATCAATTTTGATTCATTTTAGTACCTAAATTATTAGTTTTTTAAAATTTAACTTTGAATTTTGAATAGGGATACTAAAATGAAACAAAAATTAAATTTTAGGTATGATTTTGAAAAAATAAAAAAGTTTAGGTATTAATATAGACTAAAATTGATAGTTTAGGCATTAAACGCATAATTTACCCTAACATGGTATAAATATATCAAATAGGCATACTCGTTGTAGCAAATATTTCCCTTAAATTAATATGAAGGGAACGAAGCGAGACGAGGCAGACCATCCCCAAAATCATTTCATTTCAAAATAGAAACCCATGGTGTTTCTTCTTTGTCACCAAAGACTAGCCTGGCAATTGTGCATTAATCCACCACCTCTCTCACCTCCGACATAGTGTTACACAAATCAACTGTAGCAAATATAATAGCAAAATCACATGTTTAGAGAAGCCAATTACACAAACTGTATGAATTATGCTCTCGACAATAATGTTATCACTCCATTCGATCCAATTGCCGTTTCCTTCATATAAGATCCGCGACGTTCATAGGCATTTCGTCGATATGGGTACTGTAATACTGCTCTATATCCCTGAGAATCTTGATGTCATCACTTTTCACAGAATTGATGGCAACTCCCTGCACCCACAACAGTATGATCAGAGGCGATTGTTCTCGAATGGCCACGATGTGGCCAATGATGCAAATAAAAGAACCCGACAATGATAATCAAGAATATATAATCGATGGAATGAAGACTTGGTTAAAAATAGGTTTCATCACAAGATCAAATCAATTAGTAAAAGAAATACTTTCCGTCCAAAACGACCTGATCGACCAATCCTATGGATGTACAGCTCTCGATTGTTTGGTAGGTCATAATTGATCACCAAGGACACCTGAAGCAACCAAAGTAAATATTAGTAATTCATGTATGGAAACCAAATAGGCTTAAAGCTCTCGAAATGAAAGCATACGACCATAATATGCATTCAGTTCAAACATAATTTGTGCACATGCATCACAGTCTCGAACCATGCCTTGGGGTTCCACTACCACTACCATACACAAGTGGTCTCCGAGATAATGTTATGACTCTATATTTACTGTTATGAAAAAAATTAAAACATCTAGAGTAGTAGGGGGGGGAAATACCAGAAAAGGTGAAACCAATCACCCCCCAAAGACTTGCCTGTTGAACATCAAGCCCCCTGGTCCAAACATCTGATGTGATAAGAACACGGGTTGCCCCATCCCGAAACTCAGCCATAATTGCATCTCTTTCCTTCTGAGGCATATCTCCATGCATTGATGATACCGTAAAATTATTGCTACGCATCATCTCAGTTCGCCAATCAACCTATTTCAAAAGCAGAAATCACGATGATAAGCCACACGATCACACCAGGGAGTCCAAAAGCTTGTATCAAAGAATTCTTAAAACATGGTTAAAGAGGTTTCTGTTCCTTCTTTGAAAAGCATATGCATACATATGAGACTCAAGTAGATACCTTTCGTTTTGTATTGCAGAAAATAACAGCTTGGGTGATTGTCAATGTATCATAAAGATCACATAGTGTATCGAACTTCCACTCCTCTCTTTCAACTGCTACAAAAAACTGCTTAATCCCCTATAACCATGAAAAAGCAGAACAAGAGTTTGCATCAAATGGAAAATTAGAAATTGTGGATATCTTTTAGCATAACTGCATTTACTTATCTCCAGTGTCAACTCATCTCGCTTCACGAGGATCCTTACAGGATCAGTCATAAATTTGCTTGTCATCTCCAAGATTTCATGAGGAAGTGTAGCAGATATCAAACAAACCTACAAAAATTGACTGATTTCAAATCAGTTTCAACAACATAAACAGACTAAGATAATGAAAAAGAGAAAACAAAGTGTTGTAACTATACAAGAGATGCAAGAATGTTGCAAGATAACAGCAACAAGTCGGAACAATAACATCATAACAACTCAGATTCAATTCATGAACAATTAAACCAAGTAAGAAAAACAGTATGCAAAACAAACTTGCAGTGCCTCGGAACTTCACTTACAACTGTTACCGGAGTATCAGACTTACAATGTTTGGGGTTTCTTTTACTTGATAACAAAAATAAGACAGAGTGAGGAAGGTACCTGAAGCTCTGGTGGAAGATGTCTGTAAACATCATAAATTTGATCTTTGAAGCCTCTGCTCAACATCTCATCAGACTCGTCGAGAATCAATAGTTTAATAGCCCTCGTTCGTAAGGTTCTCCTCTTGATCATATCACAGACTCTACCTGGAGTTCCCGACACTACATGAACTCCGTTTTCTAGCTTTCTTATATCTTCACCCACACTTTTGCCTCCAATACACGTGTGTGCTTGTATGTTCATGTAATCGCCAATTGTCCGTATCACTTTCTCCGTTTGAGATGCCAATTCTATTGTAGGTGACAATATCAATGCTTGAATCCTGATATAATACTACTTCGCATCGACAATTCATGCTTCAAACTAGATGGAACAATTTCCAGATTAATCCTAAACAAAATTTACAATATATCAGTATCCATCACGAGATTCGAAGCTTCAATGATAATGCACTTATTTAATAATTCACGAGATGAAATTGACATCCTAGTACATTCAAATCTGTACAAAAAAACAACAACTAATTTAGAGTAAAAACATACTCTCTGCTAGCAGTGTCGACCACTTGGCAAACAGTGAGGGCAATCATTGAAGTTTTACCGGTACCAGACTGGGCTTGAGCAATCACATCGCGACCATTGATTATCGACATGACGGCTCTCTGCTGTATCGCCGACGGCTTTTCGAAGCCGAAATTGTAGATTCCACGGAGGAGGTCGTCTTTTAGCTCCATCTGATCGAAACTCAATATCGGCTCAACTCCTTCCTTCCGTTGTCTCGAACACTAGCTTCTCATCCTCAGCTCCCATCCGCCGAGCCATTCTGTTTGTCGTCGTCGCCGCCGCCATCCCTCGTTCTTCGGGCTAAGCTAAGCTGTGGTTGTCTCGCAGGGAAAATTAACTAACAGGTTTTTTTTTTCAATTAGAAAGCGAGGGAAGACAGGCACCCGTTGTGCGATTGCTAGGATTTTATTTATAGACGTTAACTATTTATTCAATTTATAAATTCCATTCTTATTATTAATAATAAATTTACTTTTTATTCTTTAATTTCAGAAAAAGGTAAACTATATCATATACCACCGAATTTCAGGTATTCTATCGTTTATACCACTTAATTTTCAATTTTACCAATTATAACATTGATCTTTGATTTTTTGTTTTAATTATACTAATGAACTGTTAAATCGTTAATCTAACGATTATGTGGCTGATGGTTGTCGATATAGACATCTCACCAAAATGGCGTCATTTTGATCCATCGGTTAACGATTTAACGACCCAGTAGTATAACTGAAATGAAAATCAAAATTCAATGTTATAATTAATAAAATTGAAAGTTCAGTGATATAGACGATACACTACATAAAGTTCATTGATATTTGATTTAATTTACCCTTTATAGAAGTAGGATGACATTTATGGGATGACGTGTAGTGTAATAGAAGAATACACTATATTAAAATCATTTATAAACAAATATTGATGGGAGTACAAGAGTTTTTTTATTATTAAGTTAAGGTGATTATAAAGTAGTAGTATTTGTTTTAAATATTTTTAACTATTTGACAATGAACATTCAATCATCTTGTTGTGGTCTTTGATGCTCGAACACGTGATCTCTAAAAACAACAATGATTTCTTTAACCACTAAAATAAGTTGATTTGTACAAGAAGTTTTAGATCTGTTGAAACGTAAGTCAATTTTTATTGTGACAAAAAAATAGTGGGATAGTATATTATAGTTTTCATTGGAACGAAATAATATCGTTAATCAATAGGTTAGTTCAAGTGGTAAGTAGTTTGATATCACTTAAACAATGTCTCATGTTTGAGTCTTTATATATGCAGGAAATTTTCGTTGGAAGACTCACCCATCAAAATTAGGTGTGCAATCTAGGTCGATCTAGATTAATTAGAGTGAAACCTTAAAACTTAAGGTCAACTAAAAAATAATGTTACTGTAACACCCTAATCCAGTGCGATCCGAAGATTCATGAATTACGATGCCACACGGAACCATTGAAATGGTCAACCCAAATTTTTCTTTGAAAAAAATTGTTAACATTAGAATAAATCATACTTGCAACGGAAATCAAATCCAATGTTTACAAAATATAGGAGTACTTCAAAATACGTACAACATAACCATAGAGTTTAAAAATCCAAAATAAAGTTATAACGTGATTATACAAGGTCTATATTGAATACATGCCCTCTAAAATAAATTCAAGTCATACTCTGTTAATCTTCTGGTCTAGAATGTAAGAATGTGATACCCTCCTCAACGATCCCCTATACTAGCATGTGCACAGAAACACGTTCCATACGCTGGGCTCACAAGCTCAGTGCCATAAAAAATTAAACGATAACACATGCATTCATTACATGAACATGTTGGTATGCAGAGTCATAAACTTGTATAAGTACATATCAAACATGAGATAGACCAAGTAATATGGTCGGAGGAATTTATGTGCATCTCGGACAACACACAAGCCTATATAGAACGTGATAGCTATGAGGTAAGAACTGAAATTTATGTGCATCGAAACTTAAAGCCCTTAGTCTATATCAGATCCTCGAGAGAGGAGGTCCAAAATTTACATGCATCAAAATCTCATGTCCCGTACTGAATCGAGCATAAGGTACAATTCCAGAATTTATGTGTATTGGAATTCGTACCGGTACGACTCAAAATTTATGTACATCGGATGCATACCCAATCAAAAGATATTCGGATATCAACATAACATAATATAACAGACAAACATCATAATGCTAGAGTAAATCGGGCGTCCTAGTCGTTTCCCAAGTATAAAACAAAAGCTAGTTTTATGTCACTTTATTTCATAATGTTATTAGTCGAGTTGTTCATTATAGATGATATCCAAATTAAGAGTTTAAGTACTAAAATCAATTAATGGACCAAACTGAACTTATTCAAACATGCAGAGGTCAAGACAACATTCCTCAACACTTTAGATCACTAATGAATGCAATTACGCCCTTTTTCATCGAGCAAAACAATGAAGAGATCGGTCATTTTCCCATAGGGATCGATCATTTTGGTAGAGTGATCAATCTTTTTTCTGTGAATAACTTACTTATGCTCGAGAAACACCCAACAATTCCCATAAAACTAACAAACATGTTTAACATCTTATTTACTATCTTAGAGGTCAAAATGTATTAATTTTCATGCTTGCAACACACAAATACGAATCTTACCTTGAAAATTACTCTAGCATGCTTCATGAAATAAACAAACCATAATGCACATAAAATGAACTACATGTAGTATGGACAAGTCAGAATCGTGTTACCTTGTGCTTAGGTGACTGAAAAACGTCCTTAGTTTCACCAAGAATGAGTTTCTCCTAACCATTTGCCTTAGAGCTCTCACCCTTATCTTGTACTAGTTAGATCAAAGAAGATGAGTTATTAACTCATTTTAAAGCTTAGGAAGGTGTTAAAAACAATCCTACAATACATAGCTCTTTCAAAAAGATTAAAAACCCCAAGTTTTCTAAACCCCTATTAAACTCGTCTCTTGTCAACTTTCCTAAACCTTGCAAAAAAAGGGTTTAATTAGAAGCTTGAGGGATGTAGGATGAGGTTTTTAGCTTGAAAAACTTAATGGAGGGCCTGAAATCTTAAATTTCTAACCTTTAGTATATCTTGGGCAAGGAGAGGATGAAGAAGAAGAGATGAATGAGACAAATCTGGTGAAGAAAAAAGGATATGCAAAACAGACGTGGCATCATCTCCAATAAATGAAGATCATCTTTTGTTTGAATAAAAAGGATAATTTTATTCCTAGTCATTCCATAACTTAGCTTAATTAAGGCTTGTTGGACTCACCTAAAGCTCAAATCAAATCAAGTTGGGTCCAAAGCTTTACATACTAAGGGAAATTTATCCAAAAGCCCAAACGAATAACCCAAAACTTCTAACCCATATTTTGGGGCTTTACAACTCTCTCCGTCTAAGAAGAAATTTCATCCTCAAAATTTACTTGAATAGAAGAGGTGCGGATACTGAAGTCACAAATCCTCTTCGGGCTATCAAGTCGCTTCTTCAACGTCATAGTTTCTCCATAAAACCTTTACCAAAGGTATACTCTTGTTTCGAAGTTCCTTGACATCTTTGACAAGGATTCAGATTGGTTCTTCCTCATAAGTAAGATCTTGTCTCACTTTGAATTGTTCAAGGGGAATAACATGGGACAAATCAGACTAGTATCAGCATGGAGACGTGAAACACATTGTGAATGCGTTCTAATTCGAGAGGTAATGCCAAACGATAAGTCACTGGTCCAACTCTCTCTAAAACCTCATATGTCTCGATGAATCATGTCGTCAATTTACGCTTTTGTCCAAACCGGAGTACATTCTTCTATTGGGAGACTTTGAGAAACACTGTGTATCACTCCTTCAATTCAATATCTTTGCGCTTCAAATCGACATACGATCTTTTCTTGTCAAAAGCCTCCTTCAAACGACTCTGGATAACCTAAACTTTTTCTTTGGTTTCTCGAATCAAATCGGGGCATACTAGCTTACCCTCATTGATAACTTGCGCCCATACAAAAGGAGTTCTGCACTTGCGCCCATACAAAACCTCATACGAGGCCATCTGAATACTTGTTTGATAACTTTTGTTGTAGGTGAACTCCACCAAAGGTAAGTGATCCTCCCAACTACCCTCCATATCCAATATGGTGCATTAGAGCATATCTTCCAAAATCTGAATGACGCGTTTGAATTGTCCATCTATCTGAGGATGAAAGACGGTACTATAGTGCAGCTTAATACCCAAAGCCTCATACATGGTCTTCCAAAATCGAGAGGTAAAATGCAGATCACTGTCAGATACGATTGAAATGAGGACTCCATACAATTTCACGATCTTGCGAACATACCACTGTGCTAATCTCTCTAACGTGAAGTCTTTCTGAAGTGGAAGAAAATTAGCAAATTTGGTCAATCGATCTACTATAACCTACATGACATCGTGCCGAAACCTCGTCATTAGTAGGTCGGTTACAAAGTCCATCTTCACTCTCTCACATTTTCACTGCAGAATCTGAATAGGTTGCAGTAATCCAAAGGGAACCTGATGTTCCGTTGTTGGCACACTAGACACTTGACAACAAATTCAAACACTTCTCTTTTCATGCTCGGCCACCAATACCATGGTCGGAGCTCTTGGTACATCTTATTGCTTTCCGGATGAACAGTGAGGGGACTACAATGCACCTCATGAAAGATCTTGTCATAAAGTTGTCTGTCGTACGACACACATAAACGTCCTCAAAAGTACAATACGTGTCCATTGTGGAGCTCAAAACCCGGAGCCTCACCTCGGAGGACTTGCTCTACTTGAATCTTTAATCAGTCGTCTGAACCTTACAACCTCTTAACTTTGCCTACTAGCTCCGGTTCAGCTCTTAACTCAAATAGTAGATAACCCGAATCTGACAAACTTAGACGCACTAATAAAGTTCTCATCTCTACGACAATATTCCTGCTCAAGGCGTCTGCCACAACGTTTGCTTTACCCGGGTGATAATCAATTACACAGTCATAGTCCTTCAAAAGCTCTACCCATCTTCGATGTCTCAAGTTCAACTTTTTCTGAGTGAGCAAATACTTAAGACTTTTGTGATCCGTGAAGATATGACACTTCTCCCTAAATAAGTTGTGTCTCTAAATCTTTAATGCGAAAACCAATGCGACAAGTTTTAAATCGTGCATAGGGTTGTTTCACTCATGTGGATTTAACTGAAGAGATGCATAAGCCATAACTTTTTCTTCTTTCATCAAAACACATCCCAAACCATTTAGTGACACATAACTAAATACGATAAAGTTTTTTCCAGACTTGAATTATGTCAGAACAGGGGCTTGCATGAGGATTTCTTTTAGCCGATCAAAACTCTCTTGATGTTTTTCATTCCATACGAATAAAACCCCTTTCTGAAATAACCTGGTCATCATTACCGCAATCATGAAAATCCCTTGATGAAACGATGATAATATCCTACAAGGACTAAGAAGCTGCGCACATCGGTAACATTCTTAGGCAGTTCCCAGTCTAACACTATCTTAATCTTTTGGGGATCTACCCAGATATCAGCCACTACCTGACCCAAAAATGCCACTTTGGTTAATCAAAATTCACACTTCCCAAACTTCGCATACAACTGATGTTCCCAAAGTGTATATAGAATGACACGGAGATATTGGTCATACTTTTCCTCGAACCGAGAGTACTCAAGGTTGTAACCGATGAAAACCACCATAAATTGATCCAAATAAAGGTGAAAAACCCGATTAATCAAATCCATGAATACCACTGGGGCATTGGTGAGTCTGAATGGCATCTTGAGAAACTTCTAATGGTCATACCTCATTCTGAAAGTGGTATTAGAAATGTCAACATCCTTGACTTTTAACTGATAATATCTAGACCTCAAATAGATCTTGGAGAACACATATGTGTTTTTAAGTTGTTCGAATAGATCATTGATTCGGGGAAATGGGTAACGGTTCTTGATTGTCAACTTATTCAACTACAGGTAATTATTACACAACCTCATCGATTCATTATTCTTATGGACAAATAAGATTGACACTCCCCAAGGTAAAACTCTTGGTTTGATGAAACCCTATCCACTAACTCTTGAAGATGATTCTTTAATTCATTCAACTTCATCGGGGCCATACGATAGGGTGCAATGGACACCAGAGCTATACCTGGCTCAATCTATATGCTGAACTCAATCTATAGAATTCCCGAATGGTGAAGATGTCCTTAATCGTTGGGACAAAAACTCGTGTATCCACTATATGAGCCAATAAGGCTTCACACTACTGATTCAACAATCTTCGAGCCTTGATTGCCAAAACACCTTTGGTAGTGTAACTTGAACTTCCACAGGTCATTCCTAAACTTCATACAATGGTGAACCTCAGTCTGAATAAGCACGGTTACGTACTTGCTCATTCGGAGAAACTCCTTCTTATACTCGAGTATGTTTCTGTCCTTCTGGGTCAGGTGTAAAAATTGGTTGTGCAAATCATCGACATGAGCCTCTCTGATGTATTTCTCACAGAACTCGGACAAGAAATATTTCCAGGTGGGTCTCTTTGGCTCCATCGACAACTTTACAGTATCCCACTAATCAATTACGTTACCCTTCATAAGGGCAGTGACACACTACAAATTACTTTTGGGAGTGAGGTACAACTGATGAAGAGTACGGAACGTCTCTCAAAGCCGTTGATCTACGGATATGGGGTCATCATATCTAAATCCATAAAAATCAATCATCCTATAATGATGAAGTCTCTCGACCGGGGACTCTTAAGGTATCACGGTTGACTGAATTGGGGCTACAGGTAGGGAAGGTGGCATAATGGACAAATTCAGAATAGCTCGAACGATCTGTCTAAGGGTCGAGGTCAGATTGTGAAAAAAGGTCACCTCATTAACTCTCGCGTCCATATGTATTCTCTACTCAAAATCGGGGGTGAACTCGTCACCAAAATCTCTAGCCATAGAGGCGTGACTCTTCTCTTAGCCTATACAACTAGGGACGTTGTCATCAGTCATATCGAATCTCTGAAATTTAAGGGAAAAAAGAGGTCACTATCGTCATTCCAAAATCTTAAGTACCCTTGACACTCTAGGGGCATGTACTCACACAGACACTTACTGAATCTGATCCGCGAGTCCTAGTAACGACTAATCTTGGACACTCTGATACTACTAAATGTAACACCCTAATCCAGTGCGACCCAAAAATCCATGAATTACGATGCCACGCGGAACCATCGAAATGTTCAACCCGAAAATTTCTTTGAAAATAATTGTTAACATCAGAATAAATCATACTTGCAACGGAAATCAAATCCAACGTTTAAAAAATATAATAGTCATCCAAAATACTTACATCATAACCATAGAATTTAAAAATCCAAAATAGAGTTATGACATGATTATACAAGGTCCATACTGAGTATATGCCCTCTAAAATAAATTCAAGTCATATTTTGTTATTCTTCTGATCTGGAATGTAAGAATACGATATCCTCCTCAGCAACCACCTCTACTAACTTACGCACGGAAACACATTCCATACGTTGAGCTCACAAGCTCAGTATCACAAAAATAACTAAACTATACTACATGCATTCATTTCATGAACATGTTGGTATGTAGAGTCATAAACTTGCATAAATACATATCGAACATAAGATAGGTTAAGTAATGTGGTCAGAGGAATTTATGTGTATCTTAGACAACACACTAGCCTATCTAGAACGTGATAGCATAAGGGTAAGAACCGAAATTTACTTGTATTGAAAGTTAAAGCCCTTATTCTACCTCGGATCCTCGAGAGGTCGAGGGAGGTCCGAAATTTACATGCATCAGAAGTTCACATCCCGTACCTAATCGAGCATAATGTTCAATTTCAAAATTTGCATGCATCAAAATTCGTACTAGTACAACCCATAATTTACGTGTATTGGATGTGTACCCAAAAAAAAGATATATGGATATCAACATAACATAATAGACAAACATCATAATGCAAGAGTAACTCAAGTGTCCTAGTAGTTTCCCAATTATCAAACAAATGCTAGTTTTATGTCACTTTATTTTAAAACGTTATTAGTCGAGTTGTTCATTATTGATGATATCGAGATTAATGGTTTAAGTATTTAAGCAAATCAATTAATGAACCAAACTGAACTCATTCAAACATACTGAGGTCAAGAAAACATTCCTCAACACTTTAGACCACTAATGAATGCAACTTCACTCTTTTCCATCGAGCAAAACAATGAAGGTATCGATCTTATTGAAAAGGGAATTATCTTTTGTATAATAGAAAGTTTGGGGTCGATGGTTTTGGTCAAGGGATTGATCCTTTTGGAAAGGGATTGATCTTTTTGATAACAGAAAGTTTGGGATCGATCCTTTTGGTCGAATGATCGATCCTTTTTCTGGGAATGACTTGCTTAAGCTTGAGAAATACCCAAAAACCAACCCAACAATTCCCCTAAGACTATCAAACATCTTTAACATATTATTTAGTGTCTTAAAGGTCAAAAGGCATTAATTTTCATGCTTGCAACACACAAATACGAATATTGTCATGGAAATTACTCTAGCATGCTTCATGAACTAAACAAACCATAATGCACATACAATGAACTACATGTGGTATGAACAAGTCAGAATCGTGTTACCTTGTGCTTAGGTGACTGAAAAACATCCTAAGTTCCACCAAGAATGAGTTTCTCCTTACCCTTTACCTTAGAGCTCTTACCCAACTTCTCCAAACCTTGCAAAAGAGGGCTTAATTAGAAGCTCTTACCCATATTTCGGGGCGTTACAGTTACGTTAGAACATTTAGAATAATTTTAATTTTGACGTAGATTTACGAGAAATAAACACATTATACATAATCACCTAACCTTTCATCCCATTCTAACTTATTTTTATGTCTTCTTCCTCCACTACAAGTTTCCGAACATTATCTTATTTGTAATATCTCCAATGGTTTTATCTTTGTGAAAAATTCTCACTTCCCTACTTTGTAATACTTGATATTGTGGTTTATTTGTGAGATGGATATTTTGGGTAAAGTACATATATGGTCCATTGACTATAAGGTATTATTTTATTAAGTCATCCGACTATTAAAAGTTACAAAATGATTCTCTGACTATAGGTAATTAGTCCCTTGACTATTTAACATTATAAAATGGTCACCTATTCACTATGTTCCAAACTCGTTATTTTTCTTAAAATTGACTGACATATTAAAATATATGTTAACATGCTGATTGAAATATAATAAAATATGATTTCATAATCTCAAACGAGTATCGTATCTCAATCAATATGTTAATGTCCAACTCAAATGGTCGTTAATTTTTTAACGGAAAATGACAACTTTGGAATATAATGAATAGTTGAGTGATCATTTGATATCTTTTAATAGTTGAGGGACTTAATAAGGCAACTTCCTATAGTCGAGTGATCATTTTATAACTTTTAATAGTTAAGGGACTTAGTAAAGCAATAACCTATAGTCAGAGAACAATTTGTGTACTTTACCCTTCCTTTTTTTAACAGAAAAGAAAGGCTTATAGGCATGGTAAAGAATTTACTATATTATATGGGAATGTGCAGGATGAGAATGGCTTCTTACGTACATAAACTGCTTCATGACGAATGTCAATTGAGAGGTCCAACTTATAAGACGAGAAATTCTGATAACTTGGAGGCATTATTACATTAAAAATCCCCCAAAATTTAATTTATTAGTCCAAATTGTTCACATAAGATTATTTCGTGTCTTACAAAACGCGTTTAATGGACTTCACGTTTTATTTGCTGCGAGATCCATCAACTTTTTCAGATAAACTCATTTAATTTTAGATAAAATACAATAATAAATGCATGAAACTTTTTGCAAAATGTAAGGTATGATCTCACTTTTTTTGCACAAGTTGAGGTTATCATATGTGGACAGTTTGAGGCATTTTTCTAACTAATGTTGTTTGGGTTTGGGAGATATTGATCCAATAAATGAATTTTTTTTGGGGTTTTTAAACTAATAATGCCTAATTTGGACTGATATATTATAGGGAAACATTCCAAAGCACGTGAAACGGTAACTCATGGCAAGACAATTTATAAACCACTGTTACAGGTTCATTTGACTTTGTATTTTACATTTTGAGTAGCTTAAACCCATCACTTGTTTATGGTTCGACGATAGATTGTCCAGCTACTCAACAAGCTCACTTTCACACACAACATGATAACAAGAAGACCAAAGCCAACGACAGTAATGAGTAAACAAGCAATCATAAAGAAACAGATCGGTGGTAAGAACCAAGAGGCAAACCATCAACTTCCTTTAAATCATGCGACTGGAGGGCGAAGAACGTGATCCTGTGACGTGTCTACCGCGGCAGGCGGCATTAATTTCCACATTGCGACGCTAGGAAATCCGATGAAAGGCATCAACTTGTTCCCGGCGGCTTGCATTTGAGCAGATATTGTTGCAGGGGGCAAGCCTGGCCCTGCTGCACTCATGGCTATGACTTGCTGCGCTAGCTTCTCCTTGTCTGCCTTCAGCGTCTGCTTCTCCTCACGAAGCTCGTTCTTCTCAACCTGAACGGATTAACGATCCGCTGAGCGTGCACATAACATTCATAACCCGAATCCCACACAACCATGTTAATCATGACTACCATGTTCATAGCATATGAATCAAGAAGATGGATCTGATGAATTACAAGTTAAAAAAATCAACCCAGATTCGATCAGTTTTCCATGAAACAAGTGTTTACCTTCAATTCTCTGATTTTTGCCTGCAACTCCTCATTAGATTGTTTCAACCTCTGAGCTTCACAGCGTAATTGATGCACCATTCTCACAGCATCACTCAGAATAGCAACCTTATCTGATTTGAGCGGCCTTCCTGGCTCCAAAATGGCACCCAGTTCCAAGAACCTAGAAATTTTTTAACAAACTCTAAATTGAGAAACAACAGGCCAATAACATAACAGAATACAAAAGAATGGTCAATTTCATGCCTATCATTCAGCCTATCCCTTCGCAATTTCTCCCGGCAAGCTTTCGATCCGAATCCACCGCATGATTCGGATTTCAACCTGAAGAGAACAATAACTGGCAAAAATTACACAACGGCAATCATCATCACCATCACACAGTTCAAAATCTCCTTGGAAACAAGAATTATAACCTTTTCCTAGATACAACTTCCTTCAAGCTATCTGAATCGGCAAATGAGCAATCAACGGCAGTACTGAACAATCAAAATAGCAGTGGTGTATCAAACGATGTATCAGCATAAAGTGAATTTTATCACTAACTATCCTCAATAGAAAATCTTTACTCTTAAATCTGAATCATCACAAAAAGAGAGAATATCGATCCTGATCGAATGAATCAACAAGGAAAATCGTTTACACCGACACTGAATCTCAAGAAACTCACAAAAACTTACCGCCAAAACTAATCACGTAACGATTTCAGTGTTTTTCTAGTTGTCGTCAACTTTCTCGGGAACCAAACGGAAAAGTACGTACCTGACATTAGAGGGAGCATTGAGAGTGGATTGAGAGTGCCAAGTGAAGGCGGCAGCTGGAGGCGGGAAATCAGTTATGCCATAATCAACGAGCCAATTGGAGTTATCAGAAGAATCCAATTCCATGGGATCTTTTTCCTTGCGAAAAAAGAAAAGTAAATTTGAATGACAAATTTATACATAGGAAATTTTCAAATAAAACAAAGTTGTTCTCTCTTTGATTTTATTTTACATTTCATCCCGTTTCGAAGCTTCGTCCTGACTAAACTGAACTGACTCGGATCGCACACCTAACTTTCGTATATGAGTTTCTCAACGGGGATTTATTATATATTCAAACATGAGATCTTACTTAAGTGATGTCAAACTGCTTACTACTTGAAGTTTGTAAAAAATATTTCAATAAATTAAATATTAAAAAATTGTTTAAATATATTTAAAAATACAATAATTTTGAAAATAATTATTTTTAATATTAAATTGAGTCTAATATCATACAATATCACTTATTTTCAAAAAAAAATGTTTTTAATATGAAAATATAATGACAAATTTAGTTTTCTCTTATCCTTCTATGGTTGAATTTATCCCATCCATGAATTAAAGGGTAAATTATATAAATGATCAGTTAAGTATAAGTAAGTTTTTAATTTCAGCATGAACCTAGTGATTTTGGTGGTAAAAAGATTGTTGTTTTTTGAAGACTCACATTCGAGTACCACGAATGTTAGGGGTATAAGTGTAATATCAAATGGTTGAAAGTTATATTTGAACAAATTTTGCCTTATACTTATACTAAATTAATCAAAAAACAGTTTTTATTTTCAAACATTAACAAATTAATTTTAAAGTAATAATTTGATCATTGTTGTTATTATCTTATAACACATTAATCATTAAACTGTTAATAATCTTTATTAGGGTAACGAAATAATGATGTGACACGTGAATTAATTGATTTGAAATCAATTGTCACCGGTACTATAAACTGAGCGAGATTTCTTTAACCCGTGAAATAATCATTACTAGTGTTCGAATTTATGACCTCTATAAACAACAATAATTTCTTTAAGCACGAAAATAAGTTGGTTCATGCAATAGAGTAGAAAATTTTAAATATAAGATAAGTGGTATGTCTTCGCTAATCAAATAAATAAATAAAGCTAAGCGGTGTGCTTCATGACCAAATTGGCATTCTTCCAAGGGCTTGCCTCCAAACGCACTGTACCGATTAGCTTACGTCAAACAGTGACGCCATGGAAATTAATATTTATAACTTTACTTTTATCATTATGAAACTTAATATTTGTATAAAATATGGGAACAAAATATTATTTAATCCTTGAATCTGATAATTTATTCTAATTTGATCCTTGAATTTTGTTTTGGTCTATATCAGTCTAAATTTTAATATTTTATTATTATTTTTAATCATTTTTAACCAAAATGATTTAGGGGTCAAATTAAGAAAAATGTCAAATTTAGGAACTAATTACTTTAACCTTAAATATTTTAAATGTACAATATTGAGTTTATGTATTATTTTTCTTAATTATCGTTCATTCAATGATTTATGTTTAATTTTATTATTTATTAACCTAGCAACTATAGAAATTGATAGAAATAACTTTTTTGTCCTCTATATTTATAATTTATATCAATTTATTTGTTAAAAATGATTGAAATTTATATTATTTAATTAATGATATTTTTATCTATTTTTAAAATTAAGGGTCAAATTATAAAAATTATAAACGATGATATTAAAATTTTATTATATTTATTTTATAAATTTCAAATCATAAATTAATAATAAAAGTGAACAAAATTAAAAGAAAGAATAAATATTTTAAATAAAAATAATACATAATATCATAAAATTATTATACAAAGACTGAAATTTAAAATAGTATATAAATCTTTATATATTTAAATCTCCTTAAATTAGGGTAAACTATATATTTAGTACCTAAATCATCGATTTTAGTTCGTTTATTACCTAAACTTTTTATTCTTTTTAAAATCATACCTAACATTTAGTTTTTTGTTTTATTTTAGTACCCAACGTTAAAAACTTAACAGACATGCTAAAAGCACATAACTCCCGTGGATGGAAGACCAATCTGAACGGTGGACCACGAGAGAATGACGAGTCGACCATCATCGTCCAGTATCAGGCCCATCGAACGATTGGTAACGAAGATCAGAGGATGAAGAAATCGAAGAGTACATCGTCGATTTATGGAGATTAAAGTGTTTCCTGTGAAACAGAGCATTCAGAGGGATCGAAAAGATGCAGTTGGAAAGTCTGAGCTTCATCGGTTAACGGATGCGACAATCGGTGACTATAGCCGCAACGGTCGATAAGCTCGTCTGTTAAATTTTTAACTGTAGAGTACCAAAATGAAACAAAAACTAAACATTAGGTATGATTTGAAAAAGTAAAAGTTTAAGTTCTAAAACGTATCGAAACTGATAGTTTAGATATTAAATGTGTAATTTACCCTAAATATAAATATTATAACTTGGGTGATTGATGAATGGTGACGAACCGATAGATTCCACTCGTAGCTCAATGTTCACACGCAATTACGCAAGCCGTGATTTAATGCCATTGCCTTTATTATTATAATAATATTGGATAAAATGAACTGGTAAATTAATGCTTAAACTTTATCTGTCTAATGAAATATTATGCAATGAGGAAGTCTTCAAGTTGATGCACTTGCTCAAAATTAAACTAATTGTTTATGTATTATGTTATTTATTTAAATTAAGCTCGTCAACTTACAACATGTAAAATGGAGGGGACATGTGCATATTAAATATGCATAGACCAATGAATGACCAATCCATTTCTGATAACACCCTAGCCCCCAGCCCATTCCATCCCAATTCAAGCAACCCTGCCTGGCAAATGAGCGGGGCGGATGCGGATAGTCGGATACCTTTTCCTTTATTCCCATATTCACCTAATAGTTTCGTACCCATCGGTAAAATTTTTAAATTCATACTCGCCCACGTGAGTACATTCTCAAATCCACCCCACACTTACAATGACACTATCCAACTGGATAATCATCACTCATTTCGTACCCGTTTGTATTTATTCATACCTGCCTAACATCAAGCTCACAGGTAACATAAGCGATGATCTTCAATTCTAAAAATATTTATACTCGAACATTTAGTTAAATTATAAGTCACGTCCTATCAAATCTTAATATTTATACAATAATTTCTGAAATTATACCTAAATTCATAATGCTCTAAATTGTATATGGTGAATAGTTATTGGGCAAGTGGATGCAGGACGGGTAATGTCTTAAACCCATTACCTACTCATTACTCACGACGGGTATGACTTCTTAAATCCATACCCGTCGATTACCCATTAAATTTATACCCATAATTGCCCTAATTGAAGTAGGTACGGTGTGAAATTCACGAAATTGTATCAGTCTACGATTCCTATCTCAAACCTTATAAATCATTACAAGTAAATTAATATAGATTCAAGAAAATAATTTTTTTTATTTTTATTAAAATTAAAGTTTTTTTCCATCTATATACTATAATCGAAAATTCCTTCTTCAACATCTTTTTATCACTATACTAGACATCGATGAATTCATCTCTTTTAATTAATCCATAATTTATTAGTGTGTTATACATTGCTCAAAAATTAAAAAAAAAAGTGTTTTTTACCAACCATATCTTTTTAGAATTGTGTCACATGTATAAAAGTACATTCAATGAGTCGCATTTCTTTTGGATTTGGATGTCACGTACACAAAATCACAAAATAATCAACATCGTTTTAATTTTCGATTTTTTTTGTATTCAAAATCTATAAATTGAAATTTAACTCAAATTTGAAATCCATATAAAAAAATAATAATTCAGATTAAATATTAAAAGGGTAAAGTAAACAAATGGTCTCCTTACTATATGATATTGCTTTATTAAATCTATTGACTATTAAAAGTTACAAAATAATTCTTTAACTATAGAATGTTGCTTTATTAAGTCTCGACTATTAAAAGTTACAAAGTGGTCACCCAACTATTTGTTATGTTCTAAACTCGTCATTTTCAGTTAAAATAATAATGATTGTCTAAGCTAGACGTTAATATGATAAATATGATATGATAGTTGTTTGAGATTCTGATATTAAATTTTATCATAACACAATTAGCATATTAACGTTTGACTCAGAATGTCGTCAATTTTTTAATGAAAAAGAACGAGTTTAGAACATAATGAATAGTCAGGTGACTTGTAGTGATATTTTTTACCAAAATTTAACTGATTTGACAAGTATCATTTTCTATTCTATGTTCCCAAAATTCAATATTTTTTTTGGATAAATCGAAATTTTATTATCCAAGAAAGCTAAGTAGCTACAAAAAATCACCGATCACATAAAACAGAAAGAAAATACAGACCAAATAAAAATCGATCGGTTTTAGTCAATACCCCAAGCAATACAAAGATTTGAGTTTACATCATCAAACCTATTAATATTTTTACCCCTTAGTTTTATACCTACAAAGTCTTTGATTGTGCGGAGTAATTCTTCAATGCTTCGAGAACATCCTTTGAAGATTCTTCGGTTGCGTTCCTCCCAGAAAACATAGATTGTGGCGTTTCACGCTAATTTGAGGATAGTGATTAACAAGGATTTACCTTTCCAATATTTACTTGCCCATGTAATCAAGTCCTCCCAAGATAATACTGTCTTGTAAATTCCATTGAGATGAAAGATCTGGTCTCGTAATTGAGAAGCAGTCTGGCATTCGAAGAACAGATGATTTCTGTTTTCCAATGACTCGTTGCATAAAACACAGCTTTCATTAGAAACAATACCTATGCGGTGAAGTCCATCTCTAGTAGGCAGCCTATCGATCATTGCCATCCAGGCAATGAGGCTGTGTTTAGGAATGTTCTGTGGGAACCAAATAATAGATTGCCAAGGAACTTTATCCCCCTTCGTTCTAATCTCTTGCCAGATTTGTCTTATCGATAGAGCTTCATTTGGAAGGATTACTTGAGCGTCAGCTCGCAGTTTAAGTAATTTATTGAAACTCCAGCTTAATGTTGAACCTGTTTCCATTTGCCAAAATTCAATATTTTGCAGCATTATCTAATAACAAAAAAAAATTAGAATTTTATTACAACACAAATTATGAATTAAAGAGAAATAATTAATAATAATGAAATCAAATTTTATAAACATTAAAGTGAAATAACTTGACATTCTCGAAGACACAACTCAAATATTCTAAATCATACATGAAAATAATGGTTTCATCGAACCCAGCAAAGAATTTTCAAGTTCGTGTATTTAAGGAGCAACAAAAAAATAAAGAAAAAAAAACCCTTGTAATTATTGTAGATTATGAAAGATTTTTTTAAGATAAGGTGATTATAAAGTTGTATTTGTTTTAAATATTGTCATTCATTTGACAGAACGCAAATCATCCTATTACAGTCTATGGTGCTTGAATCCGTGACCTTTAAAAATAAAAATAATTCTTTTAACTACTGAAGTAAGTTGATTCGGGCTAGATTAAGAAAGTTTTACCATATGTATGAGAAGCGTTTGCGTGATTGTTGTATATTATGAGTACCAGTTTAAATATAAAATCAGAAATTATTGTAATTATATAGCAAAAGATGTCTATCTTAAAATTGTCAATATTCAACAATTATATCTTTTAAAAAAAACAATCATAAATTCCACGCTAAAAAGCAATTTAAATAACTAATTTTCCCTAAATTACATTTTTTTTTATAAATAAAACACCCACTCAGCGGCTAAATCTACGAGATAATGTGTTGAAATTATTTATTTCACGAAATAATGTTCTCCCAAGATTAATTCTAACGCATTATCTCGTAGATTTAACCCCCACTCAGCCAACAATTTGGGTGAACAAATTGTAATTTATTTATTTTTATAATTTCATGAAATTATTTTCCAAATCATAAAGCAGTAAAAGCGCACACAGTTGTCCTCAGCAACGCATCAGCTCCTTCTTTGATCAACTTCCACGCGGCAATCACGTGGCGCTCATCTGTCAACGTGGCCCCCACCGCAAACCTCAATACGTATACCCCACCGACTTTCGTATGGGTCATATAAACCCGACCCGTCGAATTGATCCAATCCAACAACTTGCGGTTCAACATCTCGGTGTAATCCGACCCGTAATTTTCATTCGGGTTCATCCGGAAACACACCAGCCCGAACTGCCTCGGCACCACGATTTCGAACCTCGGGTCGGATCTTACGAATCCTTCGAACATCTTGGCCATCCGTACGTCGGACCGGATATGAGCTTGGAGGTTGACGACGCCGTAGGATCGGAAAATGAGCCATAAACGCAGCGATTTGAACCGCCGGCCTGTTCCGAGTTGCCAGTCCTTGAAATCGACGACGGAATCTGCTTCGCTCTGTTTGTTTCTCAAGTATTCCGGGTTGGTGCTCAGAGCTTTGACGATCGCATTCGGGTTTTGGACCCACAAGCAGCAACAATCCAGGAAACTGAGTAGCCACTTGTGGGGACTCAAACTCAGAGAGTCAACTCGCTCTATCCCGTTCAGGTGATGCCGGAACTCCGGGCATATGCATGCACTCCCCGCGTAGGCAGCATCCACGTGTACCCACATTCCGTGCTCTTTCGCCACGCGAGCCAGCGGCTCTATCGGATCAACCGCCGTGGTCGAAGTCGTCCCGAGGTTCAAACAAAGATAAACCGGCACCAAACCGACTGCCAAGTCAGCTTCGACGGCCTTCCGGAGTTCAAAAGGAGATAAAGAGAACCCACCGGTGAGCGTCGTCGGAATCGACCTTATGTTTCTAGCTGAAATGCCAGCGATCTTACAAGCTTTAGTGAACGTCGAATGTGTTTGGTCAGAAGCATAAACGACGAGCTTGTTAACATCGTCGGTTTCGACGACGGTAAGAGCTTTGTCCCTAGCTGCAATGAGTGTCACGAGTATAGCTTCGCTGGTGGTGTTTTGGATAACGCCGCCTCCGCTGCCTTTAAACGTGAACGACTCCGGCAGCTTCAGCATGCCCGCCAACCAGTCTATGACCGTCATTTCGAGCTCCGTCGCCGCCGGAGAAGCTAACCAATTAAACCCGACGGAGTTGAAGCAAGTGCAAAGCATTTCACCGAGGAAACCAGCTGTGCTAACAGTTGAAGGAAAAAATGCAAAGAAATTAGGGCTCAGCCAGTGAGTCATCCCGGGGATTATCTGCTTTTGAACGTCTTTCATGATCGTTTCAAAGGGTTCCGGTAGATCCGGTGGGTTCTCCGGCAATTTAGCCTGGAGATACCCTGGTTGAACTTGGCTTAAAACAGGGTAGGTTTCGATATTTTGAAAGTAATCGGCGATGAAATCTACCATTTCATGGGCTTGTTTTCTGAACTCTTGAGGATTTAAGGGACTGAAATGGGAATTTTGGGATATATTAGATTCGATTCTGCCCATAGTCAACAACTTCAAAAATTCAGGACAGAAATGATGAGTTTAAGAGTGGCTGGGAAGATGCTTGTAAGCTTAATGTTTATACATCCACGGGTTTTCTATCGATCATATATAGAGTTACGTTGGCATTTTTTTTCAACCTTTTTGGCGGTCTTGTTATTTAATACAAAACAAGATTTTAAATATAATATTCAAATAATATTTTTCCCCTCTAGTTCACAAAAACGATTCTTGGTTAATATAGATTGATTCGGGTCGTTCACTTAATTTTGGTGGATAAATCTCTCGACGGGAATTTTCTGTATGTACAATAATCTAAACTCTAAACTCACTCACTTCAATGACATCAAGCTACTTATCACTTGAACCAACCCTGTTAATATTCAAATAATATTCCATACTTAAATATAAACTTCGTTGTGTTTTGATTCACCATCTTATTTCTTTTAAATGAAATATGTAAAAGTAGCATTAAATTCCCAACCAAATATATTATATCAGCTGATTGACAAATAGGTTCAAGATAGAGTTCATCTCTTGACGTGTGCTACAGAAGAATGCTTCCCCTTTGGCAGTCAAAGTTGGTTTTAATTGAAGAGGGTCGTTGACGAGCGGCCAATGGCCTGAAAAGGGAAAAAAATGAAAGAAAAGAAAAACTAGGGTTTGGGGATGCTTTGTTAATAGGGATGACAGATTGTGTTCATGCAGAGGCCGGGGAACTCCATGATGTTTGTGACTATGAAGTTTCATGTCTTTTGTTATTGGATTTGTAAAACCCCCTTTTCAGCCTTTCACACCAATCACGCTGCCTAAATTTTGGTGACCCAACTATTCAAGGGTAAAGAATGTAAATGATCCCCTATATGGTACTGTTTTATTAAGCCTTTCTACTATTAAAAGTTATAAAATGATACTTCAACCATGAAATATTGCTTTATTGAGTCCCTCGACTATTAAAGGTTACTGAACGGTCACCCAACTATTCGTTGTGTTCGAGACTCGTCATTTCTCGTTAAAAGGTTGACGGTTATCTAAGTTGGATGTTAACATGATGAACAGAGATATGATAGTCGTTTAAGATTTTAGGATCAAACTTTATCATATCATAGTCAACAAATTAATGTTTAACTCAGAATATCGTTCATTTTTTAATGAAAAAGGACGAGTTAGAAACATAATGAATAGTCGAGTGGTCATTTTGTAACTTTTAATAGTCGAGTGATTTAACAAAATAACATTTTATAGTCGAAAGACCATGTTGTAACTTTAAATAGTCAGTAGACTTAATAAAACAATATCTATAGTCCGGAGACCATTTACATTCTTTACCCTATATATAACTAGAGATTGATATTCGACATGAATTTGATAGGTTTCCATTTCATTAAGGGAGTACTACCTAGAGGAGATAGGAATGGGTTCTGTAGAAAAAAAGGAAAGGGAGTACTCTTAACGGGTCTAGAATCTATAAATTACGAGAATAAAGATAAACAGTTTGATCAAGTGATCAAATATATTTGAAAGATGATAAATTATTGATTATATTGATTATAAATTAAGAGCATATATAAATACTATGTTGTAAATATTATTTATATATATATATATATTGGTAGACAATATATAAATTTCTATATAAATCTCAATTAAATTTTAGGTATGTCCCGACTCTAAACTGGAAAGTCATCCTAACCTAAACTTTTTTGTATCAATATATATATATATATATATATAAATGATGTAAATTTAAGTTTATTTTATTTTTTATACCGCTTTAATGAAATCATCTTTAGCCAAAGTTTCAACTTTGGAAGTGTATGGTTTGGTAAAAAACGAAGATGAAAAAGAACAAAACGCAATGAAATCAACACCATCGGCTTTGGTAGCTCGTAGTTGCGTAGATCAAATTTAATTATAAGAAAAAAATATTACAAAATGCCAAATTTAATTAAATAAAATAAAATCGAATCTCATATCTTTTTTGAAACGTTCAACGTGAGATGGCTATACTGGATACGACTAGCTTAATCTTTGAAATTTTTCTTATATTCCTTATTCATTTTCGAGTATTTATATATATATATATATATATATGTAGAAAATCATTGTGTGTGCGACTCGGGTCAATCTAAATTAGTCAAAACAAATACTTGAAATTGGAGGACAACTAAAAAGAATTATATTCTCATTTGATTTTTCTTCCATTAGATAATTATTGATGTAATAATAAATGTATGCAGCAGTAGATAAATAATTTTATCTCAAACTATTTACGATTTTATATATCATTTTAAACTATGATCATCATTAATCGAACATACGTCATTTTATTATCTAATGTAATTTAAAAATAAAATTTAAATTAAATTAAATATTTACTAAATTAAATACTTATCTGATTTAAAAATTAAAGCCTAATATATACCATCGGTTCAGCATGTTAAGTTCCTACTTGACATATTATGACACTAACTAATGATCGAGATTCAACCAGAAGAAAAATGTACGATGAAATTAGCATATTCTTTAAAGATCTCGGATGAAATTAGCATATTCTTTAAAGATCTCGACTCTATGTTTTTTTTTTGGGTAAATTATACAGTCCTTAACTGAATTTTATTTTCTTTCATATTTTACTCATTTTACTTTCAATTTATTATTTTGCTTATTGAACTTTACAGATTGAATTATTTTGCTCACTTTGTCGTTACTCTATAACGGTGTGATGACATGTAATTTTTATTATAAAATAAAAAGGGTAAATTGCACCGTTCCTCATTGAACTTTACTCTCACTCCTATTTTCCTCACCCAACTATAAAATAAAAATAGAAGATAGCTGGATGCCACTGTCGACCGCCGTAGACGGAGGTTAATCAGTCTCAAATTTCATGGATCGCTGCACCTCGACACCTTTAGTTTGAATTTGATATCCATTTTGTCGAAACTTGCTCCGATATCCACAAATTGGATATTAAAAGTGAGGAATCCAAAACATTTGAATCGAGTTTAATATATTTTGGGACATTTTCCAGTGAAACAACCACCATATTTTGAGACCGAACAACCACTGTCAACGACGGTAGATGGTAGTCGACGACGGCAGCTGGTCACCTTATTTGCAAAGTAAAGAAAAAATGGACGGGAATAAGAGGATTCAAAACGACATCATTTCGGTATATATTTGAGTTTTTCAAAACGAATTTTATTTTTATGCTTGTGTCATGTAATAACATCGTTAAAAAGTTAACAAAAGAGTGAGCAAAATGATTCAATATGTAAATTCAGTGAGTAAAATATAAAAATTAAAAGTGTGGTGAGTAAAATAGGAGAGATAGTAAAATTAAGTAAAAACAATATAATTTACCCTAATTTTTTTTAAATATAAAATTAAATCCAATAAAATCTATCGATTTCAAATTATTACTTTTCTAATTATGTAATTGAAAACACTGGTTTTTTTTAAATGCTGCGCCGATAATATTAATTTTCATCAATTTCTCCATCAATTTTTCAATTTATATTAAATTTTAAAACTAAAAAAAACTAAGGAAAAAGTTGAAATATGAACATTACATAAAAAAAATAATTTTCTGACAAGTGCGGGCTGGTGTCGGTAAAATAACTAATTAGTACAGAGATCAAATAATCATTTTCAAAAAAAATCTCCAAAAATAACAAAAAAAAATCATTCTCATCCCCAATTTTCATATGCAATTTTCATATGCTTAAAAATAGGGAAGATTCTGACAAGCGTTTCATTACAAGGCCAATAATGTCCTTTTCAAATAATCAAAGCTCCGACAAATGTCAGTTTTGTCACCCTATATTATTTATTTATTTTGTCGGTTATTAATATCGTCCGTAGATTGGCGCATCTTACAAGACCCTACGAAGATACCATAGGAAAAGGACGAGACATTTGAAAAAAAAACCAAACATAAATAGGGATTTTATAAAAAGTAATTATGGCATGCTATTATATATATAATAAATTATATGTTAGTCTAATAAAAGGAAATGTTAAATTATTTTTTAAAAATTAAAATATTTAAACTCTCTGAAGGAAAAATATATTATAAAAATATTATTTTTATTATACATTTATATATATATTCTATCATACATATATTTCGAGAAGCGAATAATTATCATGTGACAAGTGATATTATCCATTGACTGTCATATTTTACGTTGAATGTCTCAATAAATAATGTAAAAAAAAGATAATTGTGATAATAACTGCGTGACATCACGAAATTAAATGAGAAACAATAATTTTACGTTGAAAATAAAAAGTGAAGTCTCGAAATACCATGCTATCAAACATGCCTTATCCAATATAATAGTATCGTGATGCTTAATAACAACATATCAGATTTGAGTTTAAGATATAAAATCTACAACCCGATTATAATATAATTATCACTTATATATTTAAAAATAATTATAATAACATCTTTTTTATATATCTTTTAATTAGGTATATGTTTATCGAATAAAAACAACATATATACGTAAGGTATGGTTAGATTAAGTAGGATGCGAGTTTTAACTTAAAAAATCATGTCGAATTTTAATATGGTAATAAATGAAGGATATAATACTCTATTTATATGGATAAAAAGAATTGATCCAACTCGATCTATGCTCATCCCTATACCCTATCTATTAACAAGTTTACACATTTAAGAGAATTATTTTTTTAATATTTTAAGTTTTCATTTTATTATTGCATTTTTTTATTTATATCTGATATTTTTATTGTAGAGGTTTATACACTCTTATAAATACCAATACAAGTTACATATGGAGACATTTATATCAATTATTTCAATACTAATTTAAATTATTCATCAAGTCCTTGATAAAAGTGCGTTGATGCAATTTAGTAAATAAATGGAGTAGTTGTTTGTTTTAGAAAGAAAAATGAATTAAGTGATTTGATTGAAAATGAGAACCATTTCACATCATCAAGTCTCCCAAAATGAATCATAAAAAAAGTATCGTAAAAATGATTAAATAACATTATCAGAAGTCTCTAGATGGTGATTTTAAGTCACAATTTGTATATTTTTTTATATCATATAGTTTGATTTAATAAAAATAAATAATTTTATTTGAGATTAAACTTGATATCTAACATCAACTACAACTAAAATGGCATCCCTTGTTATTATCTTATAAATTTGGTCAACTATTCATATTATATTATAGGTTTTAAGGGTTACTTTTGTTCATGTAGTAGTCCTAATTTATTATTTTTATACTTATAGTATTTTCGTATCAAATTAATCCTTAAAGTTGTTTAATTGCATCATTTTATATCCTACCCCTAACTTAAAACCGTAAATTATAACCTTATGTTATGGCTCAAGGTTTAGAATTTATGGTTTAGAGGTTACGGGTTTATTGTTTAGGGTTAAGGCTTATAATTTGAAATTTTAAGTTAGAGATAAGATATAGAATGATGCAATTAAGTAACTTCGAAGGTTAAACTAAAACAAAAACACGATAGGTATCAAAGCGATAAATTGAATCTATATAAAAAATAAAAGTTATCCTTTTGACTATCTTCTAATATGTCAGCGGATTCGTGTGTTATCATATTTTAATTATTTTTTGTATTATATTTATTTATATCATATAATGATATCATATTATTTTCATATCATGTATCAAGCTTTTGCTCTGTCAATTTATAAAGAACTCGACGTTGTTTAATAATAATCTCGAATTGAAATTTTCATGAATAAAAGCAACGACAATAAAAAATGTTATATCGTAATAAAATATAGGGTTAATTATGCATTTAATACTTACACTATCAATTTTGATCTGTTTTAGTATTTAAACTTTTAATTTTTTCAAAATCATACTTAATGTTTAGTTTTTATTTCAGTTTTGTATCCATTTGTTAAAAATTTAACTCGTTTAGTACCTAAACTATCAGTTTTGATTCGTTTTAGTACCTAAATTTTCAGTGTTTCTCAAAACTTAATATTAAATTTTGAACATGGGTACTAAAATGAACAAAAATTAAATTTTAGGTATTGTTTTGAAAAATTGAAAGTTTAAATAGTAAAACGAACTAAGGGGTTGTTTGTTTACTTCAGAATGATTAAGCGCTGAATGATTCAAATGCTAAATGATTCAGAGACTCTCTATGAATTAGCTCTGAATGTGACATTCTATTTGATAATGGCTCTGAATCATTCATCACTGAATCATTCGGAGGTGCGAAACAAACGCGCTGAACGGTTCAGCATTCAACGTTGAATGATTCCATTAAGAGACAAACAAACAACCTCTAAAACTGATAAGTTAGATATTAAGCACATAATTTACCCTAAAATTTAATCTAACTCGATTTTAAACTTAATTAAATCATTTTTTTGTTGTTCTCCCGATTCCAAAGCATAGACTTTGATAAGTGAGTCTCCAACAATAATTTTTACATAAACTCGAACTCGAAATCTATTTAAGTTATATTAAACTCCGTCGATCAAACTTAATCAAATCATTATAAGTTTATAACCATCTACCGACTAGATTTAAAAAAAAAAATATTTAAATCATGCAATACAAAGGTATTGGACCTCTAATTAGAGCCAAAAAAAAAAACACAGCTGTAGTAACCATAATGGTGAAAGCAGTAAGAAAGAGACCGCACAAGGGTGTCAGTGCCACCATCACTAACCTCAGCCACTTATCAATGAACCCATCACTTCGTTATATAAATACAAAATCCAATGGGGATTGTCTCCACATATATAATTTATTTTTATTCTATTTAAAATAAATTATTCACACATCAAAATTATTTATTACTATTTTTAACACAATAAAAATACATAAAACACATTATATACGTGTGCACACAAATGTCAACACTAGATTTAGTAATGCTTTAGGGACCATCCATGAAGAGAAGGGTTTGGCTTTGGTGGTAAGACAATGTATACGTATCAGGAGTGTGAATAGAGTTGGTTAGGTAAGAACAGTATTGATTTTAAGGGTAAATTTGCGTTTAGTACATAAATTATTAATATTAATATATTTTAGTACTTAAACTTTTAATCTTTCAAAGCCACACTCAATGTTTAGGCTTTTCTCATTTTTAATACCTCATTAGAAATGTGTGGTCATATTTATACTAAATACTCTTAATCAATTGACAATGAAAACTCAATCACCCATGCGACATTCGTCGGTGCTCGAACCCAAGACCTCTAAGAATAACAACTGTCCATTTTAACCACCAAGATAATTTGGTTCGTGTGCATTATATTTATTATTAAGAAAATTTGTTATTTTGAAGCAATATCCCCGATACGAGGGTATAACAATAAAGTAGGGAAGAAATCAGGATAAGATATTAGGAAGGATAAAGTACTTAATTTCAAAATAATAAGGATTTATTATGTATTTAATCTAAAAATTTGAGAGAATAAAATATAGTTTTATTTAACATTTAATTAATAAGGACCTAAAATATAATTAAACCAAAAATTATGGGAATGACAATAGCCCCTCTAACTCCCCTACACTAAAGTGATGATATGCATTTAAATCATGTAATCGAGCTCAAAGCCTTGAAGATGAACCCATGTTGCAAATTGCAAATTGCAAAACAAAACAAAACAAAACACAAAACACAGATAATGAATGAATTGAAAACTCGTCCCGTTTGGACTTGATGTCAGATCAACTTTTCTACAAGTGAAAAAATATGGAGAAACATAGTGCCAAAACTGCCATACATGCTTGACTAGTCTCACTTGCAACATTCTTCTCCATTTCTCTTTTTCAATTTCGAACCCCCAAAGAATCTCTCTCACAATAAACCCCCTCCCCAAACACTTGTGGTCCATAACCAATCGTACAACTTCAACGATGGAAGATGGTTTATAATAATAGCCACGCCCCAGATACTTTCTCAAAGTGCTCGAGCTCGGCTAGCTCTTCTTTGGCATGTTTTTCTCTTTTGTTGGTTTCTTTCGAATGGAAGCCGGAACGCTCGAAGCTAGCAACTGCGATATTGTTAGCTGGTTCGATCGCGTGTCGACGAACGCCGGCGTTGCCCAAAGGGAGACGCTTCGTCGGATCATCGAGCTGAACCACGGAGTCGAGTACTTGAAAGAATGGCTCGGGGACATCGATGCGAAGGAGATGGATGCATGTGAGATCGAATCGCTTTACACTTCTTTAGTGCCTTTGGTTTCTCATGCGGATTTGGAGCCTTATATTCGACGGATTGCGGATGGGGATATCTCTCCTATTCTCACCCAACACCCTATTACCACTCTCTCTCTGAGGTACGGACATGTTTTTGGACACCATGTTCCAAGATCTTGTCTTCCGATTACGGATACATTCTGGTCTCTACTCCGAGTTTAGTCGAGACCCAATGTGTCCTTACAGAATGGTACATCCTCGTCCTAGAGTCTTGGAAAGCCCTTGCTAAAGGTTTATCTTTATGTCCAAGTTACATCCTAGCCTCAAAGATAGTCGCATACCCTCCACATTTCAGTATAGAAGAAGATTTCATTACTGCAATAAGTTACTTCTTTCGAGTCGGAGGCCTCTTCGGTTATTCGAATCAAATAAATTATGGTACTCGTGCTGATTTTCCGGTCTCTAGGAAGGCTTATTAGACTTTCAAGCATGTATCATATTACTCTGTTAGTGCATAAATGCATAACAAAACTCACATTGCAATGGGAATTGCAAGGTTCTATTGTTTTCTTGGTTTAATTGCTTGATGATTTGCTTATGCTTGTTGTTTGCAGCTCCGGCACCACCGAAGGTCGACAAAAGTTCGTACCCTTTACTCGCCATAGTTCGCAGACAACCCTGCAGATTTTCAGATTAGCAGCAGCTTATAGATCAAGGTCATCCCCGATATCGTATTCGTTATGTCACGGTTTCGATTATTTTCATTACCTACATTCATCGTAACCGATCTGGATAACATTTGTTATGTCTTCTATAGGGTGTATCCGACACGAGATGGGGGAAGAATCTTGGAGTTCATATACAGCAGCAAAAGGTTCAAGACAAAGGGAGGATTAACCGCGGGGACGGCGACGACGCACTATTACGCCAGCGAAGATTTCAAGATCAAACAAGAGAAAACAAAGGCATTCACATGCAGTCCCCATGAAGTGATTTCTAGCGGAGACTATAAGCAAACGACGTACTGTCATCTCTTGCTCGGCCTCTTCTTTCGCGACGAAGTCGAGTTCATTACATCGACCTTTGCATACAGCATAGTCCAAGCCTTCGTCTCATTCGAAGAGCTATGGAAAGAAATATGCAAAGACATCAAAGAAGGAAACGTTAGTTCGAGGATAACGTTACCGAAGATGCGAAAAGCTGTTTTAGATATCGTTAAACCGAACCCAATTTTGGCTTCGAAAATCAAAGCCGTATGTGAGGATTTACAAGGTTCTGATTGGTATGGTTTGGTACCTAAACTATGGCCTAATGCTAAATATGTCTACTCCATAATGACTGGCTCCATGCAACCATACTTGAAGAAGCTAAGGCACCATGCTGGTTCATTGCCGCTAGTGAGCGCCGACTACGGTTCGACCGAGAGTTGGATCGGCGTTAACTTGGATCCTTCTCTGCCACCTGAAAACGTCACTTTCTCCGTAATGCCGACTTTTTCTTATTTCGAGTTCATCCCTCTTTATAGACAGAATCAAGATTCGAGTTCGGGCAGCGTTGATTTCATTGAAGATGAACCTGTTCCACTGTCACAAGTCAAGGTTGGACAAGAATATGAGATTGTCCTCACTACTTTTACTGGTAAGTTTTTCTATATTCGTTTATAATTCATATTCATATCCGTATATCCGTGTCGTATTTTTGTATTTTTTTGTATTATGTATCGGTCCGCAGGGCTATACCGATATCGACTAGGGGATGTGGTGGAAGTGAGCGGATTTCACAACGGAACACCAAAGCTGAATTTCATATGCAGGAGGAAGCTAATATTGGCTGTTAACATCGACAAAAACACCGAGAAGGACCTTCAGTTAGTGGTCGAGAGAGGGTCCGAGCTGCTAAGCAATCACCGAGCCGAGCTCGTCGATTTCACGAGCAGCGCCGAAGTCGTGCGTCAGCCGGGACACTACGTAATCTATTGGGAGATCAAAGGCGAAGTCGAGGAGAGTGTTCTTTTCGAGTGCTGCAGGGAGATGGACGCCTCGTTCGTCGATCATGGCTACGTCGTGTCGAGGCGGACCAACTCGATCGGACCCTTGGAGCTCTGCATCGTCGAGAGAGGCACTTTCAAGAAGATCTTGGATCATTTCATAGGGAACGGGGCGGCGCTCAGCCAATTCAAGACACCACGGTGTACCAGCGACCGGATGTTGCTTAGAATACTCGATCTTTGCACCGTTAAGAGGGTTCGAAGCACAGCTTACGGTTAAAACTGTTAACAGACATGTTTGGTTTCATTACAATCTAGCTATTTCCAAGTCAAAATCACAATTATTATAAAAAGAAAATGGATAACTACTAATGTCATGAACTGATATTTAATTTACTAAATATGAAACTATTATCAAAAGTTAAGATTATTTAATAAATTACAAGTAAATTGTATTATCTATTTGATTATTTAAGATATCATTGAATCCTTTTTCAGCCATTAAAATTAAAAAGATTGGATAAGGTGAAAGCACACGTGGCACAAACCCATTTCTCCCTGCAAACACCGAAGCACAGCACTCTCCATTTCCTTACGGAAAAAAAAAACAAGAAAACCATGTCGTCCCCAACACTACTAACCCCAACTTCCAAGCTTAAATTGCTCCTCCCAGTCATAGCCAAACCCAACTCCACCGTGCCACCGACGTACCCGACACCACCACCGGCTTTCGCGGCCGACGACGAGGAGTACGTGAAAGGGACCTCCGACGTCATCAGCAAGGTACGGAGCACCATCAACGTGGACAAGAACGACCCCAACGTGGCGACGGAGGTGGCCGAGCTCAGGGATACGTCGAACAGTTGGGTGGCGAAGCACAGAAGGGAGAAATCCTTGCTGGGGAGAGCTTCGTTCCGTTTGAGCGCTGTCTCCGTCCATTATATTAGCTTCGGACCGAAGGCGCCGATCCCGGCGAAGAGAAAGGCGAGGATTCTCGAAGAGATGGACACTGCTGAGAAAGCTTTGTCGCGAGGAAGATGAAAATACAAAAACCAGTACGGCTTAAGATTTCGAGATTTAAACGGCTATAGTGTTTAAGTTTATCGAGTTTGTATTAAGATTGGGTTACTGAATCATCATGAGAAAAGGAAACTTTTAATATTATTTTGTGACCGAATTTTATCTAAAAATAATATTGATCAGTGCGATATTAAATTTTAGTATTGTTGTGGATCATTGATATTTTTTTATTTTTTTTTATTTTTAATAAATATGATTATATAACACGTTTTTATATGTTTTACGATATATCTTCTTCTATCTTTTGACATATTTTCGGTCATTTGATCAATGTTTTTATTTATCTTTTTTTCAATAGTCAATTTGACATCGTTACGATCGATCAAAGATGATCTTATATTTTATGTTATTAATATTCTCTGTTTTGAACATTTAAATTGGATTTGGATACTAGTTATGCGTTTGTATATTTTTTTCACGTCTTTCATTTATAGATAATCTTTTAATAGCTTGATTTTTTATAAGGTTTGTTTGTCGATGCAATTATATATGTTTGTATTTATCTTTGTTCGAGTTTATTGGTTAAGTTTTAATATTTCCTTGTATGATCCTTACGTGATCTTTAGTTGTTAGTTTTGTTTTAGTAATTATAGGAAGTTGTCCTAATTATATGCTTAATTTATGATTATAATTGTAAATCTTCATTTATAATTTAGGATATTTCTTATTTTAAATAAAATTAGTGTGTTCTTAAAAAAACACAAATATTAAAGTTCAAATGTGTAAAAATTTAAACATTTGAAACATATTTAAATTCAATGGCACGAACCAAATGACTTTCGTAGGTAAATTAATAAAAAAAACCTAAATAAAGCATGCATAGTTCATTGGGGCCATTCCATATTGTTGGCTCATTTATGGTTTTTTTTTCCCAATACCCCAAAGAGGGGTAATTATTTAAGGTATTAGATCAACATAGATTTTATTTTGGAAACTACGATATTTTCTACAGAGAACATCGAACTCGTCACCTCGAAAAAATATTATTTTTAAATTGACTCAGTGAAGTGGGCCCCACGTCAATATTATTTTATTATCATTAAAATGACTCATCATCTCGGCGTGATGAGTTCGTTTAAAAATATTTTTTTAATTATATAATAAAATAAAAAGTATAAATTAAAAAAATTACGTGGAACTCGTCACCTCGACGTGACGAGTTCTTTCAAATTAAAAAAAAGTAGTTGTTGGTCAACGACTATATGGGTAATGGCCAGCGGTCAATCGAAAATTGTCACCTCGATGTGAAGAGTTCGAATAAATAAAATTTTAAAAAATTAAAATAAAAGAAAATTGAATTTATTTATATTTAAAAAAAATTCAAAGTAATTAAATAATTAGAAAAAAATAAAAATTTACAAAGAAAATTTATTTATATTTCTTAAGTTCTTGACGATGTCGCGGAATGGTCGAATGATAATGTCGCGAGGCTCGTCGAGTACGCCGGGGTCGTAGGCTTCGATTGCCATTCTCGTCGTCTTACCGAGGAGGTGTACTTAACACACTTTGTGATCCACCTTCAAAATGCGGTGATGAGTTTATGACATTTGAAGCCATCATTGTCATAACTGCATCGACTTAGCTTCTACTTTATTGATCATATAGGATATGGTCCCATTCACCGCAACAACATATTTTGTCGAAGATGCTTGAATGTATTGCGGTGCATCTCATGAACCTCCAACCCAATTCAGTCAAGTCTCGGTTGAAATATGTAATGAAGGATAGAAACCGAAATAGCCTGAGATGCATAATAGTACTCTTCAACCGCAGATACTGAAGTGGAAGAAGACAACGACAATGATTTCTTATTGGACTTGGACTCAGCGCATGTGGCCTGATGATATCCCCATTCTCCCATATCTTCCGGTGTCGTGAGATATGATTTCCCATTTACTTCGTAATTTTGGAGACAAGGGGAATAATTGAAATCTAGGTCCAACGATATAATGTCGAGACGCGGGAGGAGCAATTGTTCACGCTGATTCAACGTGCCAATGTATATAGCATGTTTCACTGACCAATTTTCAATATGTTTCTCACGTGTATCAATTCTATGGAGCACGTCCATATCAACCATCTACATAGGAATCGAATGATGTGACGTAAACTGTCACATCACTCTATCAGCAACGTGCCACTCAACAATTGCATAATGCAATAACTGCGTCACGACACACCATAAGTGGGACCCCTCAATTGTAGCAATATTAAACAACATGCTACATCGGCTTTTCGACCCAACTGGACAATTGTAACCTTGTAAAGCTCCTGGTACAGAAAGACTAAAATCACCAAGCCCCAACTGGTATTACGACACACATCAAATTCTTCAAAATATCACATATATTGAGTGTGCACCAAATTACAAGATTTATTCGGTAATAATACCCATCCGATTAGTAAGAGAAGATATGCTTGAGACACGAAAATAACCTCATCCTCTGTAAAATCGTCAGTCACTTGGAATTTTGATTCCAACCATGTTATCTGTACTCGAAAACCGTTGATGACGTCGGATGATGACAATTTTCCCAAAACTTGGTAGACCAACGATACGGGGTCGTACATTTTCTGACTCACCATGGGGGCTCCATTCACAGGAACACTGAATTGGTAAGCAACGTCTTACAAAGTAATCATCGCTTCACCACTCGGGAAGTGGAACGTGTGCTTTTCGGGCCGCCAACATTCAACCAGAGCCTCAATCAACGCCGGTTACAAATTGAATCCACGCACAAATATGGTCATAAATAGACTGGATTGTTGCAGATATATCACGGTTCGCTGATGCGGCTCTCCGTATGTCATCTCACGCTTACGAATATTTCATGCATCATCTGGCCGATGTACGATCGACGAAACATAGACGTTATCCAGGTGCAACATATATTATCGGGTTGCCATTGTCGAGTAACATTTTCGATTAGCTGAATAGGCGTCAAAGGGTACTCGATAAACTTATCACCGCGCTTATTGCTTAAGCGATGAAAAACCCCTCCTATCCACGATCGCGATCCACCCATGGCCTTAGCTGCAACAATTAAAAACTAGTAAACAGAATGATATTCACTAGCCAACCTGTATTTCAATGCTGAAATGGTCCGCAAAGACTAAAACAATGCATCTACACGCAGAGTAGTTGTATTCTGCTTAATTTCTCTGTTCGGCACATGTCGAGACTCGGGGTCGGTTAGAGGAGAAAACGAGCACATTGAACATACAAAGAAGCAATCCTATTCAGCCGAGTAACGCGAGACATCAATGCGAAAGATGCAGAGCTCGAGGTAGCTAATGTGACCCATGGGAGATCAGACATTCCTACTAGTGAAGGTTTACAATTGTTCTCCCTCTATTTGGCTGCATATGCCAAGCCACATTGTTCATTTTTCAACATCGAATATCGTTCGAATAAACGTATAGTTTCGAAACAAACATGGATAGATTATGCTTTGCACATAGAGAAGCACAGAAAAGCAGACATTATCAAATATCATATTGATCAACTGATTCTATGTTTCCCGAACTTGAGTGTGAGACACATAAACATGAAGATATGATCCCCAAGTATCCTCCAAATATATGGCAAGTCTTAAGAAAAGTCTAACCATATTCGTTTCTGACACTCGTATCCGAATCCGAGTAACATAGGTCGATTCAATTGAAATATTCACAATTTACCTAAAAGAATTCAAAATCAAACATTAAGATTTAAAAGCCTTCCAATGACAACGTTGAAGGAATGGTTAACATGCAATAAATGCAAACACAAAGCCACTCAGCTCCCTGATTACTTGCCTTCATTGTAGCATACATGAATATAATTAACTTATAGTAAAACTACACTTATGGTCACTAAAGGTTCAATAAGTTTCTATTTTAATCACCAAAGTTTGTGTTTTAGTCACTAAAATTATCGATAATTCACAAAATGGTCACTCTGTTATCAACCTTTGTTAAACTGATGACATGAAATGTTAACCTATGTGATATGGTGATTGAGTGGTGAGGGCGGATGATGTTGACCATGGGTTAGGGGGGAAGATTGGGTTTTCTTTAAATTTGTTTAGAGTTAGAAAGAATTAAGGATCAATTTGATTTATAACTTAGATATAAAATTATATATTATATTTTTTTATTAATATGTCATATCATTAATCTAATACGAGTAAACGGTAGAGCGGTCATTATGTTATTTATCAATAGTTGCATTGACAAAAACTTAACTTTTAAAATATTAGTGGCAGAAATAAAAAATTGGCTAAAACTTTAGTTACCATGGGTGTAGTTTACCCTTAATATATCATAATATTTTGGGTAAAGTACACCAATGGTACCCAACTTTGGGGCAGTGCTTTGTTAAGTCATCCGACTATTAAAAGTTACAAAATGATCTCCCAACTATAGGGTATTGTTTTGTTGAGTCCCCAACCATTAAAAGTTACAAAATGGTCACTCGATTATTCGTATGTTATAAACTCGTTATTTTTTGTTAAAAAATTAACAAACATCTAAGTTGAACGTCAACATGTTGACAAGAATAACACATGACTTTGGTGGGTGAGTCTTCCAACAGAGATTTTCTACATACACAAGGACTTGAACCCAAGATCTTACTTAATTGATATTAAGCTGCTTACCACTTGAACCAACCCTGTTCCTCATTGTATTTTTTTAATGTGTTTAATAGTTTATATTTTCTTTAATCCAATCCGATTAGAAATTGAATTAACCTAATTTACCTTCCTTAAATATATAAACCTTACGTACCAACTTATATAAACCTAATTTACCCTTTTTTGGTCCAGCGTAAAGAAATAAACTTACCCATTATAAACAGGTTTGGTTATATGTCTTGATTGATGTTCATTTTTATATTGACTCAAATCAAAAGGATGTTTTGCTATTGATCAATAATATCAAATTTTATTTTTAATTTAGAATTATTAGAGAAATATACATTAATGATTGAAACTAAAAGTTAAAAATGTGAATAAAAACTATAAATAATTATAATTTTAATTTAAAATATTAACTTTCATCCATATCATAATCTTAAATTAATAAAAAGTTAAAAGAATTTTATGTAACTTACTCGTATCTTATATATAAGGATGGACCGAGGGACGGGTTGGGGCAGTTGTCCCCTTGAAATTTTAAAATTACTATATATTTTATATTTTCTCTATGTATTTTCTATTGAAAATCTATTTACGTCTCATAGAATTATATAAGTTCAAGTTCATCCCCATAAACTTTAAAATTTCAAGTTCATCTCACCTAACATAAAATCCAACATTGTTTTCCGCCAACTCTCCTAATTTGGTATTTAATTACATATGAGACCGTGAACAGAAAGCGATAGGAAATAAACTAAAAATCAAATATAGAAATGATTCAAATTGAATTGTTAATTTTTGAAAGATCTAAAAATGTAAAAATTGTCATTTCGCTAAAAAGGTTATTAAATTGAATTATTAATGTTCAATATAGGCTAGAAGTAAATATACCATTTAACGTGTTACTATTTTATTGGAAAATTAAATATAGTAAAAATTATTTTTAATTAAAAATAAATCTAAATTAATTGTGTATAAATAATGAGAACATAGGTTATCATACAAATTTATTTAATTACGTACCTAGAAGTGAATTAATTCAATCAAAAAAAGTTTATTAAATTATTTTTAATTAAAACTAAGATCAAATTGATAGAAATATAAATATTAAAGACCAAATATGTTATTATACGGCTAAATTCATGAAAAAACATAAATAATAGAAATATAATGTGTTGTTATATAAATTTGTTTTATTGTTATATTAGTCCTTTTTATCATTAAACATCGATATTTTATTTTGAAATTAAATTAAAATTTTAATGATTTTTAATTTAGTAATTAAAATAAAATTAGGTAAACTATACAAATGGTCTCTCGACTATATAGTATTTTTTTTATTAAATACTTCGACTATTAAAAGTTATAAAATGGTCACTCGACTATTCATTATATTTCAAACTTGTCATTTTCCATTAAAAATTTGACGATTGTCTAAGCTGGATATTAACATGATGATTGAGATATGATAATTGTTTTTGATTATGAGATCATATTTTATCATATCACAATCAACAGGTTAACGTTCAACTCAGAATATCGTTAATTTTTAACAGAAAAGGACGAGTTTGGAACATAATGAACAATCATGTGACTATTTTGTAACTTTTAATAGTGAAGGGACTCAACATAAGCAACATTCTATGATTAGAAGATCATTTTGTAACTTTTAATAGCCGAGGGACTATTTGTGTACTTTACTTAATAAAATTATACCAATAATTTTATAAGATGGATAGTCTATCCTAAAATTTAAAGCAAATAGATTGCCCCATCAAAACTTGATATTTGAACTGTTCCATAGCCAAGTTCGCGATATGAATCAAGCTCTGTAGGCCAGTGTTACAAGTTACATTATATATATATAGTGATTTTATTTCAAAACACTGAGTGAAACTCGTAATATATCTGATCAAACTCGTCATTACATATAAAACACCATCCCCTACCCAAAAGAAAAAACATCATCCCGAATTTGTATATACAGACATAGGGGTGTGCAAATAGTCTGTTAATCGAATAAACCGAACTAATTCGATTTAGTCGGTCTAGAAGCTTAAGATCAGAACAGAAGAAGACATATAAGCAAGCAGCAGAAGAGGAAAAAGCTTAATCTGTCGAGTGACTTGTATGCTCGCATGATGTGCCTTCTGATCCTAGGGCTAGTGCTTCCCACAAGATTGTATGAGTTCGGGTACATGTATAAGTTCGTAATCGAGTCTCCGAATACCCTTGTGTGTACCGTTTCACCAAGCATTCGCACCAGTGGATCCATTACGTTCATTGTCGTGCCGCCGGGACTATGCACGGGCGGAAATGGATAATTGTACACTTGCGGTTGATATGAGTAAGTGCCACCAGGACTGCGCATCAGAGAAGGTGGATAATGATGTATTTGATGTGCAGCAAATTGTGGACTACTTGCAGTATTAGGTGTTCTTGGTGTACCAAGATCAGGACCAAGAGGCCTCTTTGGGATGGCTACGCCGAGTTGAGAAACCATGCTTTTCGATCCTTTGCTTGTCTGTCCCCGGCCGTAAAGCGGTACAAGCGTCGAATCCGAAACATCAGCTTTACATACAGGGCACTGCGGCTGTTTCGGGGCTTGGTTCTCAGTGGAGTTGGACTGCAATTGAAGCCATTTGTAAATGCAGGGCCAGCAATATATGTGCCCGCACAGCGTCACGACAGGATCCTGCACGGTGTCGAGGCAGATATTGCAGTTGAAGCTGGTCGAATCATCCGAGCCCGTGACTGCTTCTGGTGAATTCAGCCACTTCTCCATGGAATCTTCACCTTCTGGTGATCTGTTCCGAACTCTGGCTTCTTCAACGTACTGCTCAATTGCCATGATCTATCGAAAAAATCTCCGATCTCTCTTTATGTGATATCACATATAGTGAAGAACTAGGTAGAAAATCTAGGCTAGTGCAAAAATTCTTGGAACGCATGCCTACCATAGTTGACCTTATCGAATAATTAACCTCAAGATTAACGTAAATCAATTCCATATCACCATTAATCTTCGAAAGCCAAAGCTCAGCAATGAACAAACAAACGAGCAAAACAAATTCTCTTTCGGTTTTGCAGATCAAAAGCACTAGAAATAACAAAATTCAGAAGAAAAAAGAAACAAAAGCAGAGTAGATCATTAGCAGAGCAACAATTTTTTCCAAAGCTATTGAAATTTGATCCAACTTACTCCAACAACACTCGAAATCAATCTTGAAGCAACGATCGACAAAAAAACAAACGAAAAAACCTCCAAAAATTAAAAACATAATCATACAAGAAAATGAAACAAAATCGAATCACGGAATGATTGGACATATCGAAGTTTGGATTACATACCGACTGGTTTTCGATTCACTTTTAGGTGAATTTGATTAACCAGAGAGCGAATTCCTTCTTCCTTTGAAGAGAATCTGATGAACTTGATTCAAGCTTGACGAGAGAATCTGTGGAGATAGAAGAGGGTATCCGACTCTGCTTTTATATACAAAATAAATGCTTCAATAAATATTATTAAAAATAATAGTTTATGTTGGATTAAATTTATAAATTAGTTGGTGTTGCTCATTACCTGATATTAATACTAAAAGTCTAAGGTCAAATAATAAAATAAATATGTTTATGTTTTCTTTTTTGTATTTATTGAATTATGTCGAGATTTTAGGAATTATAATTTATGATAAAGTTATAAAATGGTCTTCCGATTATAGAGTGTTGTTTTGTCGAGTCCCTCGTTTATTAAAAGTTACAAAACAGTCACTTGACTATTCACTATGTTTCAAACTCATATTTTTTTCGTTAAAAATTGATGATATTATAAGATGAAAGTTAACTTGTTAACTGTGATATGATAAAATCTGATACCAGAATCTCAAACGACTATTATATTTCAGTCATCATGATAACGTCCAACTTAAACAACCACTAATTTTTTAACGGAAAAAAACGACTTTGAAACATAATGAATAGTCAAGTGATCATTTTGTAACTTTTAATAGCCGGAGATTTAACAAAGTAACATTCTATAATCAGAGAATTCTTTTGTAACTTTTAATAGTCGAATGACTTAATAAAGCAGTACCCTATAATAGGTGGACTATTTGTGTACTCTATCCTAAAATTTGTATTTGATTTAATATGAATATTATTATATAATGTTATTTTTATTAGGTAAATTAATAACATAATCAAAAAATATAGAGATGAATGTTATTATAATTTATCTCTAAATATATAAAGGATAATTATAATGACGTAAAAAAAATTAGCTGATTCGATCCGTTAATTTGATTTGAATTTGATATTTAGTTCATTTTTTTTATTTTTAGATAATTTAGACCTGATATCTAAAAATTGAGTATTCGAACAAATCACCTAAATTCTAGTTTCGAATTATCCAAAAATCTACTAAAAATTTGGCCATTAGAGTTTAAAGAGCTTAAACCTTCGAACTTTTAAAGTTTGAAGTACTTACCAAGGGTTCTTACAATTTATTTTAGAGTACTATTTAATCATTTAATTATTCTTGTGATTTCATTTTAGTTACTTAATTATATTTTTTTAAATAGTCACTAAATTTATGTTTTTGTTCTATTTGGTCAATTATTGTTAAAATATTAACGATGATGTTGATGTATCACTATAAAGTGATATCATGTCATCATTGAAAATTAAAAAAAAAATCATGTCAACAGTTTTGTTTATTTTTAACAGAGTGTAACTAAAAATAGTAAAAATATAAGTTTAATGATAATTTTAAAAAAATAATTGAATGACCAAAATAAAATCTACGAGAATAATTAGACAACTAAATAATTGAGTGACAAAAAGAAAAACCAAGAGTCGAAACCCCATTCATCTATCGACATAATTTTCTATAATTTATTAATTTCTTATTATAAAAATATTTAAATATTAAAGATTAAATGTGTTATTAGGTTAATTTCATAACCATCACTTCAACAATTCTATTATTAATTTAATGACGGTGACGACATTTATACAATCTTTTAATTTTAGTGACTAAATTTATATTTTCTTCAATTTGATGACCAAAATAAATTATACCCCATAACTTGGTGCTTAATAGAGTAGTTTACCCTAATATTTTCCACGAGGTCATTGAAAATAGGAAGATAATATTTGGGTGCAACATTTTAATCAACATCATTATAATTTTCAAAATACTTTGATATTGAATATATTAATTTTATTTTAGTTGATGATGAATTTTTTTTATTTTGAAAATATATAAAAATACATATTGGTATTTTGGAATTGACTACCATATTATTTTTAATTAACATCTTTTCAATTCCATTTTTTTAATATTATATATTTCTAAAGTGTTATTTAAAAATATTAATTCACATATGTTACCTTGCACTTTTCCAATGCATAATTGTATTCTAAAATTAGAGCTTAACGACTACATTTTTATTATTATTTTACTTATCCTTTTCATTTATAATATTTTAATAGGCAATTGGGTCCCTTTTATAATATTTTATAAACAATTGGGTCCCTTTTATAATATAATGTCACTTTTTTTTAATAATATTTTTCTTTTTGCACTTTGTATGCAATTGAACATGGACTTCAACTCAATAAATTTGACTCAAGACTTTGCCATATTCCATGATTTCATGAGACATTATCATGTACATGTGGTGTAGATTTTCCGCTTAATAGCTAGTGGCCATTGTTAAAAAGAGGAAAATTTATGTCCATGTTTTATTTTTGGTTAAAAAAATTGTTAGACTGCTAAAATTTTTGTTTCAATTAAAAAAAAAGTGATAAGCTTTATTTGATGAAAAAAAAATTTCAATTAGGTCGGGTCAGGTTTTATCTTAAAAGTAGGTCGGGTTCAAATCAGGTGAAGTATCCTAAACTAGGATTGGATTTCGAGTGGAGAGAGTATAATTTTTGGGTCAAGTCAGGTTAACCATAAATCTGACCAAACCAAGCCTATGCCCATCCCAATTGAGACTAGTTGATGAATTCTAAATGATTATTTTAATAAATAAGTTTTTGATTATAAAAATGATCATTAAATTAATCCACCTATTATAAAACATTTATAATTCAATAGCATATGATGTATTTTTTTAATTTGATTCTTAGCACATGAGATGATGTGTATGATATATTTCGTGATCTACCGTATGTTAATTACAACCACACAATATATGACCAAGTCAAATTAAGCTGATTTATTATTTTATTATTAAACAATCTCATGTATATTATTTTTAATAAGGTTAAACATTAACTATAATATATAAAATTATTTATACATACACTTCTAGTTACATCAAAGTGGAAGAAAATACTAGTTCATAATCATGAAACGTTGAAACAAGAAGCAAGGTTGAATTAAATTAATCAACTTTCTCAATAAGGGTTTAAAATTCAATTTATTTAGAAAAAAAATGCAAAATTAGTTGTTGTTTATATAGTATTCATTCTAATTTAACTGAGATTAGGTATAAATTTAATAGGCATAAAAGTCATATCTGCAATGAATAGCGGGTAGAAGATAGATTTGAGACCTTATCCGTTTTATATTCATTTAATCCACATTCGTCCACTCACTAACTATCCATCATATAAATTTTGGAACATTATCGTTTAAGTATAATTTTAGAGACTATTTTGTAAATCTTAAGATTTTATAGGACATGACTTATAATTTAATCAAATATCAGAGTACGAGATGAGTGATAGGTATCTAGTTGGGTAGTGAATGTACATGTGGACTTAGGGATGGACATGAGACCCAAACCAGATGGGTTTTGACTTGACCCGATCGAGTCAGATTTTAAAAAAAAATGGGTTTGGTCGGATCAAGTTTGGGTTTAGGGTAAAAAGTACCCGACCAGACCCAAAAAAATATAATTTTACCTTTTATATTTAGGGATAATTGCAATAATACCCATCTATATATTATTTTATTTCATTTAAATTCCTATTTTTATTGAATAAAAATAATATTTTTTAGTAAATATATTATTTCGGATCTAGTCAGGTCAGGTTTGGATTTTATCTCAAAAAATAGGGTCGAGTTTAGGTTGGGTGGAAGGGGTATATTTTTGGGGTCAGATTTGGATCGAATGGAGGATTTAAAATTTTCGGGTCTAGTTAGATGGACCGAAAAATCAACCCGATCCGACCCAACTTATACCCATCTCTAGGTGAACTTAAGAATGTATCCCCATTAACGAGTGGAAATTTAAAAATTTTACCTTTCATAATATTTGATTCAAGCAATTTACGAACTCGATCAATCTCTTATTAACACATTTTTAAAATATTTTATATTATATAATTACGTAAGCATCCTTATTATACATCCAACAGATAATTTGAGTTCAATCTCGAGCTTGAATTGCTCAATTATTTGATCGATCTCAAATTAAGTATGAAACTTGAATTTTGTGTCGAACCTTACTCGAACTAATATTTTAATATTTGATCAAGTTTAGGCTTAATACTAAAATAAGTATCCAAATTATACCTCAATTTCCTAATAGATACATAAACTATTTTTTACCAATTCAGGTGCCTAACATTAAAAATGTTACCATTTTAGGTGTTCGGGTCGTCAACAGAGTTAATTCTCCCGTTATGTGACACGTGTCACAATTGGGTGATTTTAATTTTTTTTTTTAAATTAAAAATTATATATTTTTTAAAGAAAAACATAAACGTTAAGAAAAAACCCCAAAACTTTAAAAACTTTTATTTCAACTCTTAAATCCACGCCGACTGTCGTCCTTTTCCGTCGATGAAGCTCCACCTGACCTCAGCTCCCTCGACGACCCCCATGAAATCATGACCGATCGACGGCGAATCGACGTTTTATACCCCACGAATCCTAGGATGAAAATCGCGATCCCACTTGATCTCAACGGCCAATCGACAACAACTACGACGGCATATGACTAGGAGGGGCAGGGACTACATCGAAGACGGTGGTCATGGTCGGAAAGAGCGGCGACGGTGGGTTAAGGATAGGAATGATTTTAGGGATTTTTATAATTTAAGAGAAATTAAGAGTTTTTTTTAATAAATATAATAATATTTTAAAAAATTAAATTTTAAAATCATAAAAATATGACACATGTCACTTAACGGGGGAAATTAACGTCGTTAACAGTCCAGACACCTAAAATGATAACGTATGAAACGTTAGGCACCTAAATGGGTCAAAAAATAGTTTAGACACCTATTCAGGAATTGAGATATAATTTGTACACTTATTTTTAATATTAAGCCTCACGTTTAAGATTATCAATATTCAAACTCAACTGAACTGTATTATATCCTTAATTAACATATACTAAAATTTAAACTTAAGATATCATAATCTTCAACACCTCAACTTTATCATTAAATAAAGAACTCATTAACATCAACCACAAAATATTAAACCTTAACCCAAAACAAACGTCAACATAATCATATATCAGTCCTTTTATTTAGTTTAATCATAATATTAATCCGTGTTCGAAGACTAAGCTAGAATTAAGCGTTAAAAGAAATACAATTATTTAATTTAAAATATAAACTACATAAAAGGGTAACTTTTTGCCCCGTAGCAGATCCAATTTATCATTTTCATCCCTATCGTAATTTTGCATCAATTTAGTCCTCGAAGTTACTCAATTGCATTATTTTATATCCTACCCCTAACTTAAAACCCTTAAATCCTAAGCCTTACCTTAAGGTTTACAATTTAGGGTTTTAAGTTAAATGTAAAATACATAATTATGCAATTAAATAATTTTGAGGATTAAATTGATACGAAAATACGATAAGAGTAAAAATGATAAATTAAGTCTATTACAGGGACAAATGTATCTTGAAATATTGTTCCTGTCAAACAATAATGAAATACTTTATTTCAACTGGAAATTAAAATATCATTTGATGCTTATAAAAGATAACACAAGCCGAGAGTGATTTCAAAGTAATCAAGATTCAAGAATAGATTATACGGCCAAGAGATTAATTGAATTAAATATTTTAATTAATTTATTAATCCATTAAGAATTCACAGTGTGACAGTGAGTTAAAATTATTTTTTTTGAAATATTGGCAGTCAATTCCACTCATTAACACACTTTCTCATTTTGCCTCATCTTCACATGATAGGATCGATTTTTAGAATCGTTGGATGAGCAAAAATTAAAGGTTAAGATTAATAGTTGAAAATGAGAAGATATTCACTTAAAAGAAAAAAAATGAATTAATCTCAACTTTTGATATTTCCTCATCCAACGATCTTAAAAGGGTGTAAAACTAAAATTTTACAATAGATATAAGTGGATTCAAACCCTTTAGTTTCAAGTTCAATTAGGATATTGAACCGTTAAATCATTAACGACGTGATGCAATATAATTTATTTTTTCATGAACTTTATATATATATATATATATATATATATATATATAATTTGTCAATAAACTTTAAAGTACTTATATTTTAGGCACAAAACTCTAGTTTGTGTATCAATTTGGTCCATGTAGAAAATCGTCAATTCATATGCTTGTCATCGTCGATCAAATACCAATTTGGTCCATATTTCACTCTTCTTTCTTCTCCTTAAATTGATTTTTTTTACAAATTCACTCGAAATCGATGAAAATTCATCTAAATATTTGACGTTCTAATGCTTCAATATCCTTCGACAATCATTTGATATGGCTAATTTTGAGATATCCTATTTATTTTCTTGAAAGAATATTTCCCAATATTTGTATTTAAACAACTCTAAAATTTGAGAAAAAATTAAAACCCTAAAAATATAAATTTATGTTTAGTTTTATAAATTTTAAAGATATTTATAAATTTTAAAGATATTTTATAAAAATCTAAATTGATAAAGTGATAGCGGATAATGAAATGAGTTCATCAATATTTAGGCGAGTATATAACATGCCCGTCCATTAACAAGTGCAGTATGTGATACGTCACAGAACCCATAAATTTGGGAGCCTCACACTTGAAAAAAATATACTAACATAGAAAAAATTATTTTTCCTTAACAAGATTTAACAAAAAACAAACACCAAATTTATGGCGTTTAACAGATAACAAAATATTTATTTTTATTTATTTTTTTTGGATAAGTAAATTTTTTTAATGTCTATACTAACTTCAATATTTTTAAATTTTAATATTTTATAATTTATTTTGTTATAAAATATTTTAGAGATCTTATTTTAATTAAGTATCACAAGTTCCTTGTATTTTTTGGAACCGGCCTGCTGCATAAGATGCTAGAAAAAATATTTTGTGGAAAATTAAAAATAAGTGACAAAATCTAATTTCGATGAAGAAGAATATATAATGAGGAAAAAAATCAATATGATTTGACCTAAAATTAAATTTTATAAAAATAATATTATCAAATTAGATAAATTCATAAATTTCATAATAAAAACATAAATTTCATAATAAATGATTCATCATATCCAAATATCCTCAAAACTCTTTTCATAATTCCACTAAGCTTAACCCTACATGAATACCAAAGATTCATTATTACCATAAAAACTATAAATAATGGCTTGCATTAACCAAAGTAGATGGAATAAAAGGCTACTATGTTCTACACTAACCTTGCATAACAGCTTTTATAATGGTAACATGTTCTTGGAAGTCACCGACTGTTCGCACTCCGTCGACCCGTTTTCTGTGAATGCCGTCGACAACAAATCGATCATTCTCGCCATTGTCGCTTTGAATTCCTCGGAGCTACCCTGTTCGATTATATTAGGGTCAGGTACACCATCTTTAACCACGACAGTGCCAACAGTAGCACCCTCTTTGTATGCTTGACACGCCCCGATGATGTCTGGAGCATGGCAGCGGAAATAACTGGCAACAAAGCCCTTGAAATGCTGTTCAGTAAAACATAAAATTGTGCAATTATTAGTTACCATATATGCATAACATACATGAAACCTCTGCCTACAAAGAAAACCTTATTTTGTGTCAATTGTGCTAATTGGCATGTGGTGATATGGTTTAAAGGCGAGACTGTGCTAATGCATGTACGAAACAAAGAGATCGGTCGTTGGCAGACTAACCTGAGGCGGTCTTCTTAGTGTGTAAATCATTGTCTTCAAGGATAGAGTGTATACTTTCTCATTGTACTTTCTGGACCTTCTTTCACCTACGTCCCCGACATACGAAGTATCGTATCCGGGCTCGTTAAAGAAAGGTTTAGCATTCAGAATCAGAGCTTGTATGGAAACCAAAACTTGTAGCATGGTCGATTTCCCCGGAACCCACAATTCAGTCTCTTTACCATGCCAGGTACCCAACAGGCTTAGGCATACTCTACCACATCTATACAAATTCGGATTTAACCGCAGGCCACCAGAATAATAATAAACCAACTGGAAAAATTCAGAATCAGGTATTATTGTATGGAATTTTTTGTGTGAAAAACACATCATATGCACAATGAACATACTGGTGGCACATTCGGATATTTTGGAGGGAAGAAACAATCAAAGACGAAAAGTCCATCATGGTATGGAGTACCAGCAGGTCCTATAATGACAGCCCTTAAGAGACCCATCTTTGCTTCACAAACTCTAACATATATTGTTTCTGTGGAACAACAAAGTAAATGGATGAGTACCATGTTTCACAAAACACATTCAAAAACCAAAACTCACCTGGTAAACCATTCTCCAGAATTTTCCACTCCTCTTGAATTCGCTTCACCGACTCCTTTGGATGCAATCAATAAGAAGTGTAAAGATCAAGTTATTTGGATGCCGACGAATTTAGCATAACATAGTATAAACAATAACACAAAATGCAAACTTACCTTCTCTCCCGGCGAGGCCATATTGTTGTAATGATGGATCGAGAAGTCGTCCACGACATCAAAATGTTTGATGCTTTCAAAATTCGGCACTTTGTGTTCATCATTTCCTTCTTTCGGATCAGACCCTGAGTCTCCAAGGACCATTACAGAACTGGTAGAAGCAGACTTCAGTCCACCATTAGCCAGATAAGAGGAATCTGAGGCACCCTGGGGTGAATTCCCATTTAGAACTGAAGTAGGGTCTTCAAACCATATAATTTCACTCTCTTCCGGAGTAAGACTCAAACTATCAAAAAGGGATTGCACAATCAAATGATCATCTTTGTTTAATAATTCATTATTGTCACCAAAATCAGAATCATCATCAGTGTAGTCATCATAATCCCCGTCATCATCGTGATACGACAAGTCGACCTCCGAACCTTTCTCCGACTCTGCTAAACTAAGAGTATTACCGAGTTCAGTGGTTGAATCATCCTGTAAAAAGGGGGTAAGTAAGTTCAAATCAAGGCAAGTTGATTATCGATAATGTAAAATTACAACCGATCACCTCCAATTGGTATTGCCACGTCATGTCATTGTATATTATACTCTTCCCCTTGCTGTCCGTGCCAGTTTCCTCGGAAACAATCAAAGCCGTTGCCGGAATTTCAACTTGTTCAGTATCCATTGCATCACAAAGAACCTAAAAAACAAGATTGTTTACTCAACAAAATGGATTACCGATTCAAATATATGTATGCATATATATTTATTTCTTAAAATGTACACTCCTAGTAGTTTGCCCGGAGGGAGGGATTTTCCAAGCAACCAAACAGAGAGTTAAATGATTCTGAATGATAATACTCTTTAAGACTTACATGAGAATCTGATTTAGTAAAATAGAGATTATCGATCAAGAAACACATAATTTCTATTTAAATCCGAAAATCAAATCAAACAATACATTCATCAAACACAGCAACATAAAACTCATGTTGAGGTACGAATATTAAGGCTAAGAGGCTAACAAATGAATGCTTCAAAATAATTTTAAGATTCAGATTTCTCAAAATGCAGAGTCCTAGTCATTCACCGGTAATATAATTTTCCAAGCAACCAAACAGATTTTAAGAATCCTTCACGAATTCATGAGTATAACAGAGAGTGAAAAAAGAGAGAAAAAAAAACAGATTTCCGCTAAAAGTATTGAGAATCAAAGCAATAGAAGCATCCAATCAAAACAACAAGATCTACCTCCTCCAATAAAAAAAACACTATAAATCAAACGACAATGCACACAGAGTCCAAAAAATCATGATTTTATTCTAAAGAAAAAGAGAGAGTAAAAGAATAATAAACCTCGTTTAGAGATCGAAGTGTAGAGTGATCAAACTTCTACAAAAATGATTTTTTTTGGAAGATAAACCCCAACGAAAATTTTGGAGCGAGATATACGACGTGATAGGATGATTATCAACTATACATAAATTTGAAAAATAATAAATAATTTCTAAGAAATAAGAAAAATAATAAATAAAAAATAATATATTTTGCAAAAATATATATTTTATTTTTATTTCAAGTGCCATTTTATCGTAGGCATTAGATGCACCCCAAGTGAAGCGGGAAAAATACTAACCTATTAGATCAACTCAAGTTTTATTTTAGGATCTATCATAAATATTACAGTATATGACAAACTTGTCACGTCTAATTCATACTCGTACAGTTGAAGTGATAAATTTTAATAAAATATATTTTTTATTAAAATTTATTATATCATGATGATAAATTCTAATAAAAAATATTTTTATTAAAATCATTACATATTTTTATTAAAACTCATCACATTAATGTGATAAATTTTAAATTATTATAAAATTAATTTTAAAAATATCTAATAAACCAATTCTTTTGCCTGCCTGCCTTATTAGGCCAATTTTACCGGCACTAGAGGTGAGACACGTTCAATCGGGTTTAGTACACTTAAATTATGAGTAAATAGAATAAAATAGGTAATGCGTATCATTTTAATAATAAATTAAAACACGAATCAAACAATCAACGGTAAAGAAATTGTTATTATTTCTTAAAATTTTGAATTTGAGTATAATGAATATTAGGGGTATGAACATCTATTATTAAAAGTTTGATAATTATTTTTAAATAAATATTATATTATATTTATCTCAAATTAATCAATAATAATAGTAATAAATTAAAGAGTAAATTACATATTTAATACCTAAGCTATCAATTTTAATCTATTTTAATATCTAAACCTTAATTTTTTTCAAAATCATACCTAAAGTTTAGTTTTTGTTTTATTTTAGTTCACATGTTCAAAATTTAACATTAACTTTTGGAAAAAATTAAAATTTTAGGTATTATAATAGACCAAAATTGATAGTTTACATACAAAACACATTAAGTTTTTAATGGCGATGTACTAAAATGAAAAAAAAATATTAGGTATGATTTTGAAAAAAAATTGAAAGTTTATATACTGAAACAGACCAAAACTGATAATTTAGGTACCAAATGCATAATTTACTATAAATTAAATTATTCATATAATATTGGTCGATTAAAATTTCAAAGTTATTAAATGTTACATATCATAATCTAGTTAGTTGTTGAAGTATCTGTTAAAAGTGTATATCAATTTGAAAAAAAAATCTCCAATTCATGTAATAATTTGAGGAAAAAACGAACTTCAGGTACCAATTTGTATAATAATCCAAAAATCTATAATAGTTCCAAAATCTAACGAAAGAACATATGGTGATCCCTTTCTATTCAATTACCAATGAAGTAACAGACTTCGATCATGCTTTACAATGAAGAAAGATATATCCTGTAAGGTCAAATTATCTAAAAAACAGTAATAAAACAAACAATGTATTAAAACGAACCAGAAATTTTCCTTTTCTTTCAATTTAATCCCTCGCCGTTATTGTTCCTCACAAGAGCAAAATAACCCAAAACGGCACAAACAGCCGCCACAAAGTTGCCTTCTTTCAGCAAGGTCTTGAAAACGGAGCCGGCAATCTCTCTGGTGATCTTCTTCCCTTCGGCAACCAGCGCCCTCTTCGGTTTCCCGAAGAAAGCGAGCAAGACGACCACCGTTATCCACGTCACCAAGGTGGCGGGCACCGCCACGGCCAGAGCCGCCGCCATGGAGAGCAACCCGAAAACCCCGCCGAGGAGGACGGATGCGTAAACGGCGGCCCATCCGGTGGGTTCCTGGGCTTGGTTCTGGTACCAAGACAGGGTTGATTTGAGGAAGCTCCACGAGGAATCTAAAAGGACGGCGTAGACGAACACGAAGAGGAACACCCATGTTCTTCTTTTGCTCATAATCTTCAGAAACACTTGGTACGATGACGGTGATGTGGTCAGAGATTGTTCTTCGTGTTCCCGCTCCATGTTTCTTCTTCTTCTTCTTTTTTGCTCGATTTGCTTCGGCTTTGATTTGAGGTGATTTTGGATCGTTTTGTTCTTTGCTGCGTTGGAAAGGCAGAGAGTTTAGAAGGATCAAATTATGGTTTGGTCCCTTAATGCTTCAATTTGATAATTATTCTTACATATATATATATTAAAAGTGACATAAAAGTTAGCATTGACTTAAACCTATTAAGTGACTTTAGTAGTTAAAATAATGTTGTTAATTTCGAGTTCGAGTAGCTATGCTTATAAGATATGTGTTGTTAATGATCTAAGCATTAGATAAAGGGAATACACTTGAAGCAAATCACTCTCAATGTTGTCCAAGAACACACTTATTTAAGTTAAATCAAAGTATTAATGAGTTGAAGAGGTATATTTAATGAGATCATGACAATTTAAGGGTATCACGGACCAAATTATCATAAATTTAAGAACAAAGACTAAATTCTAGATGTAAGCATAGTAAAGTGACCAATGCTAAAATGTTAGCACTTTATAAGACTAGGAAAAAGAGTTAGAGGAAATACCAAGCGCAATCCGCTGGAACATGGATTACTTGAAAAACATGGCGGCAATTTATTGGTGCGTGTGTTGAACATTCTTAAAAAGCCGTTAAATAATTTGGGATGCTTCAAGTTAACGTATGTCTTGGTGGAGAAAAGACAGTTGTGTGTTTCAAAGGTTTTAATATTCTAAGAGGGACTATTTTTGGAATATAACAAATTGAATTTGGATCTGTCCCATAAATATTTTAGGGTAAACTACGAATTTAGCACATAAACTATTAGTTTTAGTCCATTTTAGTACTTAAACTTTAAATTGTTTTAAAATCATCCTAACGTTTAGTTTTCATTTCATTTTAGTACCCGCCGTTAAAAACTTAACACGTTTAGTACCTAAATTATCAGATTTGGTCCATTTTAGTACATAAACTTTCAATTTTTACAAAACTTAATATTAAATTTTGAATTGGTACTAAAATCAAACAAAAATTAAAGTTTTTAACGGCAAAGTACTAAAATGAAACAAAAACTAAACTTTAGGCATGATTTTGAAAAAATTGAAAGTTTAGATACTAAAATTAATCAAAACTGATAGTTTAGGTACTAAATGTATAATTTACCCAATTGGCATCTTGATTTGGGTTAATTCACGAATAGATGATTAAGCTAAACCATTTTTTATATTTTAGCTAAAAACTACATAAGCATGCTTATGTACCATCTAATAATTATTAATCAAGTCATCATTGATAATTATTAACTAACAATGATGGAAGTACTAAAATAGAAAAAGAAAACAAAGTTTATATATAAGTTCTAAGTACCAATTTGGAGAAAACGATAATTTAAGTACTAATTTGTCAAATAAACCTTATTTGAAGCTTCATTTTAAACTACTTTAATGCTTGTAATTAGTGGGATTTTGTCAGGTTTATAAGTGAAAACTCTTTACAACTTGCAGAATCTTCTTAGCTTCCTAGAAGCTTAGCAGCCCACAACTTTTCAAAATTTTATTATTCCCCTTTACCTTGAAAAAGTTGAAAAACAATACACATGACGTTGAAATGTATATTGGTCTAATCGAATCTAAACATAATTTATTAAAATTTAGAGGGTAAAGTACACAAATGGTTCCCGACTATATGGTATTACTTTATTAAGTCTCTCGACTATTAAAAGCTATAAAATTGTCCTCCGGCTATAGAATGTTGCATTGTTAAGTCCATTGACTATTAAAAGTTATGAAAAGATTAGCCGAATATTCATTATGTTCCAAACTCGTCCTTTTATGTTAAAAAATTAGAAGTTGTCTAAGTTGAATCTTAAGATGATGACTAAGATATGATAGTCGTTTGAGATTCTAAGATCATATTTTATTATATCATAGTCAACAAGTTAACGTTCAGCTTAGAATACTGTCATTTTTTAACAAAAAAAAGGATGAGTTTGAAACATAATGAATAGTTGGGTGTCCATTTTGTAACTTTTAATAGTCGAATGACTCAACAAAACAACACTCTATAGTTGGATGACCATTTTATAACTTTTTATAGTCGAAGGACTTAATAAAATAGTATCCTATAGTCGGGGATCATTTGTGAATGTAAAAAATATTCGTTGGGAGACTCGTCTACTAAAGTTATGTGTACGACCTAGGTCGATTAAGATTAATTAAGATAAAACCTTGGGAACTGGATGGAGAACCAAAGAAAATTGTTAAAAATTAAAAATAAAATGTATGGAAATTTCAATAATAGAAAAAATATATTTACAACATAATACATTTTTATTGATATTAATAGCCATCAACTGTTTTTTTCTCCAAAAAATAATAAATAAAGTCAAAAGCCCAAAATTACAACTAAAAATATCTAGATTAAGTCAACCTTAATCTATCCATGACCCCACCAAAAAAATTACCAATCATCCAATCATCAATCGCCACGTAATCAAGGGCCCCACTTTCTTGTCATTACGATTCGATCCCACGTAGGATCCAATACATTGGACAATTTGCTATAAAGTTGTGACCAACATTCAAAACCCTACAATTTGACTTGAAAAAAAGAGAGAAAATTCTCCCGTAGCATCAAAGGAAGCCGAGAAATATTTTTTCCGGTTACCGGATAAATGATAGAGATGATGGTGATGGGACAAAATTCCGACGAAATCAACAGGTTCCCCGACGGAGCAACGATTTCAACCGATATGATGTTTGGTTTTCTCGATGGAAACAACAAAAATCTAACAAATTTCGTCAATTGTAACGAAAATGACCGGAAATATGATGGTATTCGTGAGGTTGAAATTGAAAAAAAACATGGTTTTCTGGGAAACTCAAGAACAGATTCTTCTGGTAGTATATATAGTTATGTGTTAATTAGTAAATGTTTAAATATACTATTCTTTGAATTTTGAAATTTGAATACCAAACTGTTTGATAATAAATTGTGATATATTTAAATTTAACTATAAATGGAGTTAAATTTTCAAAAGTTCGAAGAGTATAGGGACTTTTATATAATTAAACCTTATTTTGTGGTTTGTTCTTGTAGGCTACGTTGTATGGTACTACTTCATTAGAAACGAGGATTCAAGCATCTACGAAAGAAGCATTGAGTGAGTTAGACTTGATAGTAGTTCAATGCGGTTGCCGGAAACCAGTCGCCGGTGGTTGCCGGAACTGCTTGCAAAGGGAACTCTCTATTCGTCTCCAGAACAAGGGTTTCAATTGTCACCTATGCAATTCCAAGTGGAAAAGCTCCGTCAAAATCCCCGCCGGAGAACACACGTACTTAGAGGTGCTCAAGAAATCATCGAACGCTAAAAAGGGATATAAAAGTATCGTGATCGAGTTGAATTTCAAAGCGGAATTCGTAATGGGTAAAGCCAACGAAAGCTACAACAAGCTGATCGGCCACCTGCCGGAATTATTCGTCGGAAGGGCCGAGAGGCTCAAAGCGTTGATCAAGATCTTGTGTTCCGCCGCGAAAAAGTGCATGAAGGAGAAGAAACTGCACTTGGCGCCGTGGAGGAAGCAGAAGTACATGCAAGCCAAGTGGTTGGGGACGTACATGAGAACAACGCCGGCAGTGACGGCACCGTTGCCTGTGGGATATTCAGACCGGCCAAAAATACCCAAGGTTTCGATGCTAACGTTTGATCTACGAGAGAACTTGCATGGCTTGCATTACGCCGGCGCCGTCAAAGTTATTTTCTGAATTTTAGATTCGAATACTATTAATTTTAGATAATTTTGGTCCATCGACTATTAAATTTCATTTTATTGAGTTTATTGAATGAGATACAATTAATTCATTGACTAAGATACAATAACATGTTAAACGATTAACATATCTCAGTCAGTATAACATCCAACTGAGACGACCATTAAATTTTAAACAAAAAAAAGATAAAATTAAAACATAATAAATAGTAAAATGTTCATTTTTTAACTTTTAATAATCGAAATCCTCAAAAAATAACATACTATAATTAAAGTATCATTTTATAACTTTTAATAATCAAATGACTCAATAAAATAATATTCTATAATAAATATCCTATAATAAGGGACCGTTTGTATACTTTACCCTATCTTTTAACTCTTTTAATAAGATCGCATTTTATCATTGTTGGTTGAAATATGCTCCAAGTCCTCGTACTCTTTGTAAATTTGGATTCTAGTCCTCTTGTATTTATTTTTAGAAATTTAACCTCCCATATTTTCTCCTTCCACATTACTTGCATGAGATGAAAAGCAGTCATAGCCACATAGATTACCTGGCAGTAACAAGAGCAACTGTCCCGAAAACAATCTAAACAAAACTTTCTTCCCACAATTACGATCCGGAATTAGTTACGGCATGATCGGATATTGTTATCACAATGACGAGCGTGACAAGATATTACGTTTCAAGCTTTTCCATGCTCCTCGATCCCGTAAAACTACTTCCTTTGCATCTTGAATCTAGACACCGGCTTCGAAGGTTTTGAATGAGAAGACTGCAGAGGACATCGATGTTGCAATAAGGATTTGAAGTTGGTGAATGTATTACTTCATTGCTACATACAAAAAATGTGCAAGCACAGTACCTGTGATGAAGCCGTTTTTGTTCCGGTAATTTTTTCTCTAAATTTTCAGTATGCTCAATGATAGAACCCGTAAAAGCCTGCACAAGGAGTCGGTAAAATCTCAGCTCGCATCATGCTAATGACAAAGTAACCGACACGGTAAAGGTAGTGTACCTTGGAACTATCAAATTCTGTTTTTGTGGTCGGTACAGGTTTCTGTAACACAAAATCAGAGTTAAAAGATGGTTAGCAGCCCTATCAGTGTGATCGTGCATTTATAAATACAATTTCGAGAAGGCAAGGTTCGAATTACAATCGCTGATGTTATCTAAAGATCAATTCCGAAATAAACATAAATGGTATTAGGCTGTTTTTTCTTTTTCATTTTGCATTCTCCCAAAGACCATCGGTACAAAGGCAGATTATTCAATTGTAAGAGCAGAGTTCAAATATAAGCTACGGATACCTCATTTCTTGACGAATCATGAATGTTCTGCTTCAAACTCGTCTTTTCAGAAGGCACTGACGCATTTATGGGAGGATTTAACATCTTTGTTTCTTGATGTATAATCCTGCTGTGTGATATTTCACCTGAATAAGATAAAATAAAGGAATTGTCTCATCTATAAATCAAACTCGATATGATAACCACATGCGTAAGTCAGAAACATTCACCAACATAGTTAATTCGTTACCTTTAGTAACAGGTTCCGCTGTCAATCCCGTACACTACATTTGAAATATACAAAAAACAGTGACTTAAAAAAGCAAAAACTAGTTCAGGTAAAAGACAACGATTGCATATTTAGTCGCTTACAGATAACTGATTAGTTAAATCATGATGATTATACTTAGTAGACATCTCTTCATTTATTGGATCTTTGCCTTTGGACTGTTGTAGCTGTTTCTTCGGCTGAGACTGATACACCCATTTCATATGTGACAAACGAAATCATTCAACATACAACTGTATTAACAGGTAAAAAGCCTCAAGCCCGATCATTACCTCTAAATATCTTTGCCCATGATCAAGAGAATTGTAGCCTTCATCTTTTTTCCTGTGAAAAGTAGCTCCAGTTAGCTCATCTTCGTCGCCATCAGTTTCAGTAGCATTAGCATTAGCATCCTCATCTTCGTCGTTTTCTCCATCATCTTCAGCTGCAAGTTCTTCTTTCTCAAGTTCTTCCAACCTTGACATTAGACGGGCATACCCATCATCCTCAGATTCACTCACTTTATTGTCCGATTCAGCAACACTAGGGGATTCTAGTTCCACAGGACCTGAAAAGAAAACATTTTGTCCGACTTATATCTTTTAACTTCATTAAATAGCAATAACCAATTCATCTTAAACAATTAAATAGGCCGCATGATAATGAGTACCTTGGCAATAAAATAAACTAGAAAAACAATAACAATACATTATGCAACATGTTAAACAGACGATCGAGTGCTTACATCATTAACGAGATGTTGAAAGACATTGGCACTCCGACTAGCTTTTTCATAATGCATAATTCAGAATCAGGTGGCCAAAGTATCATCTAACCTAATCTAAGTAGGATACAAAGTTTCAAGACGATGCTAATGAACAAAAAGGAGGTGCAAGAACCTGCCTGATTGAGATACCCTTTCGGTTGAATCGTCCTCCTCATATTCTCTAATCTCCACAAGATCCTCCTGTAAAAACAAAACCATAGTAAACAGGTAAAGACCAATGCCCCAATTTAACTAATGAATTAACAAAAAGAAGATGCGAATCGGGAAAACCTACTGCAACTTCAGAAGCAGTGGTATCGAAAAAGGAGGCCTCGGCATTAAGATCCTGCATCTCGGCCTTCAATGCACCCACTTTAGAAACCAATGATTTCCCTCTTCTCTTTAGAATTTCAACAGTTTGTTTAGCTGTTCTGTCAGCATAGTAACTTTCCCCTAGTAGAACCTACAATGAGCTCAAAATATTAATTGAGCATACCCAAAGTTCACTCAGGTTTCGAATACTAGATATTCGATTATTAAGAATGGAGAAACAGTTCAACATTCAACCCGACTCGAAACCGGAATTACCGGATCGATGTGGTCATCGGATGCCGGCGTGTGTCGGACCAAAAGAAATGCCCAAAATCTTAAAATTTACATAATGAAATAAGTTCCTAATTTAGCGTAAAACAAAAGCATTATACCAGAAACTCGTTCGTGTGGGTCAAACGACCAGGAAAAACGCCGCTTTCCCGAACGGAACCTGAAAAACACAACCTTTTTAAATTTATGCTCATAAATTGAAAGGGAAAGAATTCGATATATCTACACAGAAGTAAAATCGCTTGATTGTAAATTGATATGCTTTCCATAATATCGTGGTGGAGTTCGTCGGGGAGCTTTTGCACAAGGTTGATGAGGGAGGTGTTGTCGGCGATGAATTCTTTCAATTGATTCATTTCATTATGCTTCTCCGAAAACTTCTCCTCCACCATCTTCGCCGCCTTCTGCACCTCCTCCGGCGGGAACATCGACGACAGCGATGTCACCGTACCTTTCACTTCTGGTTTTCCCATTTTAATTTCCTTTTTTTTTTAAGAGTTTGGAGTTGAAGTGAGCCAAGAGCGTGGCTGCGACTCGTGTTACTGCTTCTTTTGAGTTACTTGGAGGAACAAGAGAGCGGCTTAAGGACTTTTCTAGAATATTTAGATGACTATTAAATTTAGGGTTAAATTAATTAAAATTTTAAATTAAGAAGTTAAATTAATTAGTTTTTTTATTGATTTTAACTGTTAAATTAGGGAAAATAACTCATTTAGTATTTAAACTATCAGTTTTGATTCATTTTAATACCTCAACTTTCATTTTTATAAAATAATACCTAAAGTTTAGATTTTGTTTTATTTTAGTACTCCTATTCAAAATTTAACGTATGCTTTTGAAAAAATTAAAAGTTTACGTACTAAAATGGAATGAAATTGATAATTTAGGTATTAAACGCGTTAAATTTTTAAGAATTGGTATTAAAATTAAGCAAAAACGAAACATTATGCATGATTTTGAAAAAAATGAAAAGATACTAAAACTAACAAAAACTGATAATTTATGTACTAAATGCGTAGTATACCCTAAATTTTAATAATTTTCTGAATTATTACTATCATATCATAATATAAATTTGTCATGTGAATATTGTGATTTTAAAAAATAATTTTAAATATTTATTAAAAAATAATTTTTTTGAAAAATATTATTGATAATATAATGATGTGAGATATAACCTGGATTAATCTAAATTTCAAATTTAACAATTGACATCAATCAATATAACGAATTAATGACATTTTAAAGTATAAAAACTTAATTTAAAGACTTATAATATTTTTAGTATGTAATAATTTTAATATTTTGTTTTTAAATTAAATTTTTCTCAACTTTATAAACGAGTAAATAATATTTTTAATAAAAATATTAATTAAAATATCACGTGACATATTATATCACATTTTACACTTATTTTATATTGAAAAATAAAATAATAACATAACAATTCTATAATAAAAACAAGCATAAAAGAAGAATTAAATTTATTTTTCTAAAGATTTGTACATTATTTATATTCAAGCACTATATACATTCTCACTTAATCAATAAAACACACAATTATACACTATTAACATATGAATTGTAAAACGTATGATTTTAATTTTAAAGTTTAACTACTGATCCTTAAACTATATATATTTTTTTACTTTAGCACGTAAACTTTTTTTGTCTTATTTTATACCTAAATCATCATTTCCGTCTAAGTTTAGCTGAAAAAAAAATTAGAATAGGTTGGAAATGATAATTCAGGTATTAAAGTAAGAGACAAAAATCTAGATACTAAAGTAGAAAAATAGATATAGTTCAGGGATCAAAAACGAAAATAAGGCCTAAATTTAAAGAGAGTATTTCATGAACCATGTTGCACCCTATACAAATCCTTTACGCATTGCCGGGAGCCATAGAAGGTGACAAAAGTGGCGTCGCTGCTGCCGGCACCATTGCTGGCGGAATGGCATTAGAACCGCCGCTAGGAACGCCGCCGCAGTGGTAATGAAAACAATCCACGGGATGTTCAAGCGCCGCTTCACACTCTTTCTCACTCCTCTGCTTCGGCTTCTCCGGCAAACAGTTCCGGCGATCATCGAAAGCGATACCGTTGGAGCTCAAGTTCCCACAAATCCCTTCTTCCTCGCAAAAGAAGTTATAAGAAAATGTGAAGTTGACCAAGTTGGGCAAAACACAAACGCCCATCGGAACAACGCCACTCATCATGTTGTGAGCCAAATTCAGCTGCTCCAAGTGAGCTAACCCGGCTATGCTGTAAGGTATTGGACCGACCAAATTATTATGGCTGACGTCCAACACTTTTAGCTTGTACAGATACCCCACTTCCGGTGGCAAACAGCCGGAGATACTCGTGTTGATCAACAGGAGCTCTTCCAACGTGTTGGCGAAGTTCGATATGCTAGGCGGCAGACAGCCTCTGAGCTTATTGTTCGCGAACACGACAACCGAGGCCGTGCTCGTGACAAAGCTCGGAGGTACAACGTTGGAGAACCAGTTGTTGTTGATGAATATGGCGTCGAGGTTCTTAGCGAAGAGTTGAGGCGGCAACGACCCTTCGAACTCGTTGTAACGGAGGTCGAGATATTTTAGCGACGGAAGAGAGAGCACGACGGTCGGAAACGGGCCGACGAATCGGTTGTTGCTGAGGTCGAGCTCGAAGAGAAGGGAGAGGTTTGATAATGTTTGCGGGAGGATGCCGCAGAATCGGTTGCTGTTGAGGTGGATGAGTGCGAGGTCGGAGAGGAGGCCGAGTTCGTCGGGGAGGTACCCGGCGATGTCAACGCCGTTAAGGTCGATTCCTGCGACGACTTTGGTTTTGTTATCGTGAGGGGAAGGGGAGCAATATATGCCATTGTATTTGCACACTTCGCGGCCTATCCAATTAGTGGTGAAGTTACGGGGGTCTGAGTAGATGACTTTTTTGAAAGCTTGAAGTGCAACGTAAGCTTGTTGGAGTTTGGGGTTTGGGGGCGGCGGACGGTGGTGATGCTGGCGGTGATGATGGGAGGCGGCGGAGAAGGAGGAAGAGAGGTGGAGGAGGAGAATGAGTAAGGCTAGCGAGATAATGAATGAAGGTGAAGCCATTGTTTTCATTTGGTGGATGCTTTGTTAATTGTACTTGGTTTTTATGTAGAGAAAAAAGTCTTTCATTTTCATGGCAAATACGCTTCAGTCTTCTGTTTAATCATATGATGCTCACATTAATTTGATTTGGATTAAAATGAAATCAAATTATAAATGTATTCTAAAGTAAACATTTGGGTTTGTAGATTAGGACACCCCAACCCTCGGACACTTAACCATTACCATTTGGCCTTTGAAAAATGAGAGGATTTTGCATCATTCAAAGCTGGGTTTTCAAGCTTCCATTGGGTTCATGAAATCTTGATTATTGTCTGCCACCAAAACATTAGGGTTTATATCAGTAGGATATCTGAATTTATTATCTATAAAAATAAAATAAATTCATCAAGTATTTTGATATTATTATCCGGCGTTCAAAGTCGGTTAACCGTATTGTTTATTCTAAATGATCAGTTAACTGTTACAACGGTTATTAAATTTTGTTAACAATGAAGGTATCATTGGGGAAGAGGAGTTGTACGGCAACAAAGACTTATCTCCTTCCATTCCATTCCATTCCATGGAGTTTTGGCAGTTGTTACAAGTGGAGAAGAAAAAGGACAGCTTTAGACCACCTGAGGAAAGAATACATTGCTTCGAACCAAAGGGATAATCATAAGAAAAAAACATGTTTTTTCAGTCAAATTTCCATCATGTTTTTATTTATTTATTGAAGATATAAGTATTTATATATTTGAAAATATGATTAAGTATATATGGTTGTATGTATAAATAATTAATTTATTATTTTGATCAAAATTAGCATAAAAAAGTATAGTCTTTTATAGATTAGATGTGAGAGCCAATACATGCCGCCACCAAAAATCCTATCTTTTTTTCACAAAGCAAACATTTCGAATCAAGTCAAAAGGAATTCGAATCACATCTCAACTAATACTTCAAATCTTATCTTCTACAAGGTATTATTTTTAAAATGTTTAATACCAAAATAAGTGTCCAAACTATACCTCCTTTTCCAAATAGGTGCCTACACTATTTTTTGACTCATACCGGTGCCTAACATTAAAAACATTACCCATTCAGGTGCCCGGTCTGTCAACGGTGTTAATTTTCACGTTAAGTGACACATATTACAACCTTGTATTCTTTAAAATTTTATTTAAAATTATATATATATATATATATATATATTAAAAAAACACAAATTTTGAAATAAACCCAAAACTTTGAAAACCTTCATTTCAACCCCTAAACCCACACCAACCGCCACCTTTTACCGTCGACGAAGCTCCACCAGACCTCCCCTCCCCCGGCGACCAAAACCCCCACGAAATCGTGACCGATCGACGACAAATCAACGTTTTATATCTCGTGAATCATATGGTGAAAATCACGATCTCATGCGATTCCAAAAGCCAATCGACAGGAACTACGATGACGTATGAGTAGGAGGATGGCAAGGACTACGTCAATGGCGGTGGTCGTGGCCGGAAAGGGCGGCAGTGGCAGATTAAGGTTAGATTTGGGATTTTGGGGATGTTTTATAATATAAGAAAAGTTAGCGTTTTTTTATAAATATCATAATATTTTTTTAAAAAATCAAAATCACCAGATTGTGGCACGTGTCACTTGACGGAAGAAATTAACGCCGTTGACGGCCTAGACACGTAAATGGGTAACGTTTGTAACGTTAGGTACCTGGATGAGTAAAAAAAATAGTTTAAGCACATAATTGGAAAAAGCAATATTGTTTGGTCATTTATTTTGGTAATAAACATTTTTAAAATAATGAAAATTAGTCTCGAACAAAGAATTTCAAAAATTTTAAGTAACATTCAACTAAGTTTATGAACACCTTCAATCGATGATACATAAGTTGTGTAATTAATTTTTTTTACACGACATGCTTATTTTAATTCAAAATTTTAAAACTTGTATACTACCTTAAATCTTAAATTTTCAAGTCTGAGCTATCAAATAATTTTCCTTAATTTAATTAGTTGAAATGTATTGTGTTTCCTTAATTTAATTAGTCTGAGCTTTCCAATATCTTAATTTAATTAGTGGAATAGGATTACAAAAAGAACATATATTTGAAGCAATCATAATTATTTTGAATTAATTTAATCTATTTTTAATTAACTGACGTTTTAATTAAGAAAATGATGACAAAATTTCATCATGCGACGATCATCTGAATTTCATGTAAATCTACACCAATTGCATATGCTTTCATTCCGCATGAAACTTCATACAGTACATTATATGAGTTCAAAAAATTGCACATTTGTACATAGGTTCACAAGGGGTTCAAAAGTTTTTGAACAGCGGTGACGGTGTCCCGGAACCGAAAGATCACCTCATAAGAGTGGCCGGACTGGAAGTCAGAGCCGTGAACGAAGAACCGATCCGCTTCTTCCTGTCTATTCTTTGGAGAACTCGTAGACGTGGCGATTTCGGTCTTGTTGTTTCCTTGGAAGATCTGGCCAAATTGAACATCGTCAAAGACACGAACACGACACAAATATACATACGAATACACGATGTGATGCCCCAAATGCCGGATTTTTTCTTACTTTTGTGGGCAGAAAGGATGATCAAACTTGGGAACAGGCCTAGCATGGGGAACCATTGTCCTCCTTAGTTGCTTCAATGCTTTCTCTTCCTCAATCTGTCAGTCAATTTAATAACATGCTAAGACGAGAACTAGAATTGACAGCACAAGTTTAGGACAAAGGATTCGCGTTCTTACCATTCTTGCTGCCTCACTTTCCTCTCTGTATCTCTTGTAAACCATTTCTTTCTCTTTAATCTGAAACAAAAAGTCATTATAAGAAATGCTTGTTGAATGAAAATGTAATAAGCTTCACATGAGGAACAAACTAGAATTTACTTTTTGATCGAATTCGGCTCTTTCCACTGCTCTATGATTGACATGTAGGTCGAATTCTTGCACTTGTGTTAGAGGCTTGCGGGGTTTTTCAGGAACAGGAATTAGATTCCTGCGTAAGATTGCAGGATAAGGAATGGAGAAGTATCGATGGTTGCGCTGAAGAGGCATGAAGTTGTGACAGAAACCAATATGAAATGTGGATGAATCTTACTCTTTTAGAACCGGCCGAGCCTTGAAGACCCTCATCTGAGCTTCTTCTTTCTCTTTTGTCTTTCTTTCTTCCATCTCTCTTTTCATCTCCTCCTCGTGCCTCACCAAACTTTCCAATCGGAAGGGTTCCGGTTTCGTACAATGCTTAGGTTCGGGTTTCGGAGGAATCTGCATTAAAAAAACAACACCACTTTTAAACCATCAGTAACCAATGATTGACTAAAAACATTAAAATGGAAGCACGCAAAATTAACGTACCACAGGGTAGTCAGTGGTGTATGGATATGGGTTAGCCTTGGGGACCCTGGCTCTTGCCTCTTCAAACTGCTTCTCTATAATTTCCATCACGAACTTCTTTTCTTTTTCAGCACCTCTTTCCTGAACCCGAAAACATTTGGAATTCGATAAAATACCGATCTCTATGTATGTTTTTCTGGTCTCGTATCATTCATGAACAACATAAGAAAAGAAAATACCTCTGTGTGAAGATGGAATGGATTGGGAATGGTTCTTCTCGGAATTGGATCATAGCTAGATTCTGAATTCAGAGAAAGCTGTAAAAGGAGCAAGCGTGTTCTCTCAAAATTAATTTACTCAAATCAGTAGTGTAATATAATTATATAACTAGGTGGTGCATTTCTATAATTACCTTGTCAAATAAATCAAAAACCGCTGATGGCGGCGGAACCCTCTCGTGTGTTGCAAAATAGAATTCTTGGGGTATAGTAACCTGTTTCTTTGCATTACAGAAGATTCCCAATTCTCCTTTGCCCTCAAATATCTACACAAGGCAGAAAAAGAGTTACTTTCACAAGTAGACATGGTTATCTTGTATGATGCAGACTTGAGGTATATTCACCTTGTTATTTAATGGCCTTGCTTTAAATTTAGGTGCTTTTTCAAGTTCCTCCTGCTCAAGTTCAATAGAACTTTTGACCTTTGTAGGTCTTGCCCTCAGAGATGTTTGAAGCACAGGGGTTTTGGGTTCTGTTAGATGTGGTTTCCACTGATTATTCTGTTACAGGGAAAAAAAGAAAGAGAAGGCAAGTGAGATATTCAAGTTTCCAAGTGTAAAATGAACCAAATTATGGGGGACTTAGTTCTCCGAACCTGACGAGACACTTCTGTTGAAGCTACCGAAGATGTCTCCGCGTTCTTACTTGCTCTAGCCATTGTCTCCAAATGAAATTCCTGAAACAGGACAATTATTTTAGTATGATACCAGGCACTGTCTTCATTTAAACCTCAAGCCACGCCTAGTTTACCTGAAATTCTGGAGGCTTTGGAGTACTTCTTGGTAGTGAGGGTAGTGCTGGAGCTTCAAAAATCTGCACCAAAGAGAAGAATGGACAACAAATTAAAAAAAACTTACAGGAGAAAAATCTTAAACGTAAAGAACAAAGAGGGATCAGTTTGGTACACCTAAAGGATAATACCTTCTTGTTCAATGGTCTTGCTTTAAACTTTGGAATTTTAGCCATCATTTCTTCCTCAAGCTCCTTGGTGCTCTTCACTCTAACGGGGCGCATTCTCTGTGCTGTTTCAAATTCGGGTTCTTTAGGTCTTGTCAATTTGAGTGTTGGAACCTGGACAGTAGCAATATTTTCCCAATTAGTTAGAAGGAATTTGGTGAAAAAAGAAATAAAACAAGGTGTTGAAGCCAAAATGATGCGATTCTATTTATTTACATTTGACTGAGAACTGTGAGGAATTGACAAATCTCTGGTAGATGATTGGAACTTTCTCATCATTTCTGCCATTGAAACGAATGGTGCCTGTTCTCGAACATAAACCTTTGAGGAAAGCACAATCCAAATTTCAATATTGATTCCTGATTGTTAGTGAAAATATGCGAAGGCGGAACTTATCACTGAGAAACAAACCTTTCTATCCAATTTGTTTGATGTTTTAGCAGTAGAGGAGCTCCGGTTGGAACTACCACTCGGAAGACCAAGTTTTGACTTGTGGGGCAAGTTATGGGGTTTCACATTCAGAATCTGAGGTACAAAGGGAAGCAACAAAGAGACAAAACTTCAGATAAAAGTTACAAATCACAGAAGCTAAAATATGCCGAGGGGAAGAGCATATAAGCACCTGTCTAGATCTTCCTCCATCTAGTTTCTGACGTTTGATGGCTTGGTTTTCTAGAGCCAGATTAGGAGTTCCAGCATTGCCGGTTTTCGGCTTCAGGTTCCGTATCATACTAGCTATCTTTTTAGCCGTCTGATGCTTCTTATCACTCACCAGTTTTTTCTGAGAAATCATCAATGGTTTAGGGGTGCAAGCTTCAGTTTCTACTTGCACAGCAGTATATTTGCTTTTCTCTTCATCACCGGGAACACTTAAATGTGATTTTTCAGTTAGGGCACTGAAAATCCAACATAAAGGAATCAAAGACACAATAATGAGAACCAAAGTATTCGTACAGAGCACAATTAATGTGAAAAAATTCTCTTATGAACAAACCTTCCATTTTCTTGAGCGCATACAGTCGCTGTGTTTTCCTTATCTTTATCATCATTAACAATCTGCAAAGCATTTAAATCATATGATAATACATAAGAACTAATCAATAACAGAATGTATAAAAAGAAAGTCCACTAATTACCTCAGTGACAATTTGATTTATTTCAACCTTTGCCTCGGAGGATTTAACTTCTTCCTTTACTTTATCGGGCACGAGCTCGGCTTTCGGCTTATCTTTCAAGTTGCTGTTAGGAGGTGTTGCATCCGATAATTCTGATGCCTGCAGCAATAATATATCATCATGATCGAAAAGAAAGGAAAATTGCTGTATGAGATGATGAAATTATACAAGAAAATTGTATATATACAAGTAATTCGAACCTTCTGCATTTGATCTTCTTCACTAAAATTGCAGAGACTCTCCACATGAACGGTTCTACTACCAGCCTTGATTCTAGACATAAAGGCTGCATTATGATAAATACCAGAAGGAAATTAAAATCCCCACTTTTCTCCTTGATAAAAATGCAACAGTTTTACTTGGAAGCAGGTAAATTGTTGATTAAATTTACACCCCGATATCCTTGAAAATTATCTTAATTCGGTTAAGCTTAATTACATCACAAATCTTTCCCAATTAAGAGAACCACGAGCCCTAGATTTTTCGGAATATAATTCAATAACAAACAATTAAAATCAATCAAGTTTAAATCGAAAGTCAAGTAATGACTAAATCAAAACCCTAAAAGTACCAAGAAAAATCAAGAATCGCGGATCAAAACGATACTACTACAGAGAGAGAGAGAGAGAGAGAGAGAGTATACGGGAAGGAGCGTAGCTTAAGGCGGTTTCGAACCAGAGTTCGGCATTCCGTGCTTCTTCCTCCGATTCTCCTTTGATGAAATCGAAGAAACGTGGCGCCGAGAACTCGTATAACTCGTCGATAACCGTCGCCGTCATAACGCTTGATCCGTCCATCGGATTCCTAAAACGGTGAGATTTTTTTCCCACTGTTTTGTTTTGCCGGGGAGGGGAGGGATTGAAATTTGGTGAAAGGAGGGAAAGGGATTTTCTTCAGTCTCCGATTATGGGGTTCTTGAGAATCTGTTTAGTAGAAGAAAATTGAAGACATGAGACGGAGCAACGGTCGAATTTTTTACTATTTGAATTTTGGGATCTAACGGTCGGGTTTTGCGACAAATTTGGTTAATTGTAATGACTTGAGGTGTATTTGTAACGGCTACTTTCGCACGCTCTTTAGGCCTCCTACAAAGCTTGTCGTTTCATTTTCTTTTTAATTTTTGGCAAAAAATGCATTATATTATTTTCTCTCTCAATATGATCATCTAACTCAGAAAACAATCCAATCTGACCCTTAAACTAACATTTTTTATCTTTTGACATTACGGTGTCGACGTGGATGTTTGAGTTATCAATTTTGCTCACTTGCCATGTTATCTGTCACGTTATGAACTACTATGGACCAGAGATTCAAATAAAAGTTACGGTCGCGGTTTCGTTCGGATCACGTTTGTAGCGATTATTGACATAGCAGACACTATTACGGGGTCGCGATGATATAATAACGGTTGCGGAAGGCACCACTATCGTTATATTGTGAACGTTATCGCGGTCGTAGACCGCTATTTAAATCCATGTTGTGGACTATACGCCAATACTGTGGACCATCACGTCAGCATCGTAACAGTTAACAACGAAAAACATTTGTCAAAAGGCTACATTAAACTTATTTTCTAAATTAAATAGTCACTTTAAAAAAAAAAATTATACAGAGACCACATTGATTTTTTCAAAAAGACACAAGGACCTCAGATACTTTTTGACTTATTTTTTTTATTTGCATATTTAGTAGTAAATGAAAAGGCATATGCCTATCAATTTAAATGATTCTGATTAATTTTGGATAGAATCAATTTATGTTACATGGTAACGAAACTAAAAATATGTTTTGGAGTCTATATTTCAACAAAATGAACGTACATGGCGGTTAATGATGGTTAATGGTTTGGTCCTTGAGTTGTTTCACAAGGGGTTCAAAAGTTCTTGAACAACCCCCTCCCGTCGGTGGCGGCGGTGCCTGCACGACTCGGTTTCCTGATACCAAAATCATCTCATATGGTTGGCCGGACTTGAAGTTGGTGTGTTGATCGAACTGACCATTTTCTTCCTTCCTATTCTTTGGAGAACTCGTAGACGCGGTGATATCGGTTTTGTTGTTTCCTTGGAAGACCTGGCCAAACCGTACACCATTAAGCCACGAACACAACACGAAAAGTGTACGAACAGTGATGGACGAGTAAATTTTCTTACCTTTGTGGGCAGAAAGGATGATCAAATTTGGGAACAGGCCTAGCACGGGAAACCATTGTTCCTCTTAGTTGCTTCAATCTTTCTCTTCCTCAATCTGGCAATTTAAGTACATTTTTAGCTTTAATTGTCACAACATGCTAAGCCGAGAACTAGAATCGACAGCACAAGTTTAGGACAAAGAAATCGAATTCTTACCATTCTTGCAGCCTCACTCTCCTCTCTGTATCTCATGTAAATCGTTTCTTTCTCTTTGATCTGTATAAAAAGATTTATTATTGCTTATTGGATGAAAATAACAAACTTCACAAGAGTGTGCGTGAGGGACTAGAATTTACTTTTTGATCGAATTCGGCTCTATCAACTGCTCTATGATTGACATTGAGGTCGAATTCTTCTTTCTCTTTTTTCTTTCTTTCTTCCATCTCTCTTTTCATCTCCTCCTCGTGCCTCACCAGACTCTCCAATTGACCAAAACATTAAAATGAAAGAACAAAGAATTTAACATACCACAGGATAGTCGGTGGTGTATGAATATGGGGTAGCCTTGGGGACCCTGGCTTGTTCCTCTTCAAACTGCTTCTCTAAAATCTCCATCGCAAACTTCTTTTCTTTTTCAACACTTCTTTCCTGAAGATCGTTTGGGACATCATAAAATACTGAACTTTATGTATCTTTCCAGGTATTATACCATCAAAAAGGAAATGTACCTCTGTGTGGAGATGGAATGGATTGGGAATGGTGTTTCTTGGAATTGGATCATGGCTCGATTCTGAATTCAGGGAAAGCTGTGACAGGGAACAAACATATAAAGAGTTGTTTCCCTCAAAACAAATATGCTCAAATCGCTACTATAATAACCAGTTGGTTCATTTGAATAATTACCTTATCCAATAAATCAAAAACTGCTAGTGGTGGTGGTGGTATCCTCTCATGCGTTGCAAAATGGAATTCTTGAGGTATAGTCACCTGTTTCTTTGCATTACAGAAGATTCCCAATTCTTCTTTGCTCTCAAAGATCTACACAAGGCAACAACTAGAGGGTTACTTCCTCAAGTAAAAATGGTTATTTGTTGCTGTATTATACAATGCAGAATAGAAATGATGGCAAAAGTACCTTTTTATTCAATGGCCTTGCTTTTAGGTGCTTTTTCAAGTTCCTCCTGCTCAAGTTCAATGGAACTTTTGACCTTTGGAGACTTTTCCCTCAAAGATGTTTGAAGCACGGGGGATTTAGGTTCTGTGAGCTGAGGTTTCCTTTCAATATTCTGTTACAGGGAAAAAAGAGAGAAAGGTAAGCGAGCTATTCAAGGTTCCAAATGAAAACGCATCAAATGTATGGGATATAGTTCTCCGAACCTGACAAGGCGCTTCCGTTGAAGCTACTGAAGATGTCTCTGCATTCTTACTTGCTCTAGCCATTGTCTCGAAATGAAATTCCTCAAACGCAATACACTTTTTACTCTGCCAAGAATTGTCCTCATTTTCATCTCATACCAACACACATGCTCAAGCACAATTTACTTGAAACTCTGGTGGCATTGGAGTACTTCTAGGTAATGAAGGTAGTGGTGTAGAAGCTTCAAAAATCTGCACCAGAGAAGAAAACAGAAAACAAGTTAAAGAAAGCTTACCGATAAAAATCATTAACAGTAAAGAACAAAGAAAGATCAGTTTAATACACATAAATCAGATGGTACAAGTATTAGACCTTCTTGTTCAATGGCCTTGCTTTAAACTTTGGAATTTTAGTCATCATTTCTTCCTCAAGCTCTGCAGAGCTCTTCACTCTAACCGGGTGCATTCTCTGTCAGGTTCTTTAGGCCTTATCAATTTGAGCATTGGCATCTGAAAAGTAGCAGCATTATCCTGATTAGTTAGGAGGAATTTAGTGAAAGAAGAAAACAAGGAGGTCTAGGAACCAAATCCTTGTCGAGCCGAAATGATGTTATTCTGTTTATTTACATTTGACAAAGAACTGCCAGAATGTGACAATCTCTGGTACAAGATTGGAATTTGTTCATCATTTCTGCCATTGAAACAAATGGTGCTGCTTGTTCTCGAACATAAACCTTCAAGGAACACACAAAGCAAATTTTAATAGGTGTTCACAATTGTTACTGAAAATATGCGATGGAGGAACTTATCACATAGAAACAAACCTTTATATCCAATTTGTTAAAAAGTTTTCCCATTAGAAGAGTTCAAGTTGGAACTGCCACTGGCAAGACCAAGTTTTGACTTGTGGGGCAAGTTGTGGGGCTTCACAGTGAGAATCTGAGATACAGAGAAGGAAGCAACAAAAATGCAGAACTTAAGATTAAAGTTACAAAGTAACCGTATTAAAAATCAAGCAAGGGAAGAGCGTATAAAAAGCACCTGTCTAGATCTTCCACCGTCCAGTTTCTGGCGTTTGATGGCTTGGCTTTCTAGAGCCAAATGAGGAGTTCCAACATTGTCGGTTTTTGGCTTCAACACTGAAGAGCTCCTGATGGAACTAGCTATCTTTTTAGCTGTCTGATGCTTCTTGTCGCTCAGCAGTTTTTTCTGAGAATTCATCAATGGTTGAGGGGTGCAATCTTCAGTTTCTACTTGCACAGTGGATTGGTTTTCTAGAGCCAAATTAGGAGTTCCAGCATTGCCAGTTTTAGGCTTCAACACTGACGAGTTCCTGATACTACTAGCTATACTTTTAGCTGACAGGTGCTTCTTGTTGCTCACCAGTTTTTTCTGAGCATTCATCAATTTAGGGGGTGCAAGTTTCAGTAACTACTTGCTTTTCTCTCCATCACCGGGAGCATTTAAATGTGATTTTTCAGATAGGGCACTGAAAGTTGAACCAAAGACACGTTAATGAGTAATGACAACCAAAGAACTCATACAGAACTCAGTTACTGTTGATTTTTTTAAAGAACCCTAACAACAAACCTTCCATTTTCTTGAGCACATAGTCCCTATGTTTTCCTTATCGTTATCATCATTACTAATCTGAGAATACATGAAAACTAATCAATACTCAAAACGGATGAGAAACAAAAAGTGCACTAATTACCTTTGCCTCAGAGGGTTTAATTTCTTCCATTACTTTATCAGGCACGAGCTTCGCTTGAGGCTCATCTTCTGAGTTACTGTTAGATGCCGTTGCACTAGATGATTCAGATGCCTGCATCAATAATATATATCATCATGATTGAGGTGAGAGCAGTTGCATATATGGAATCATCGCAAGTCATTTGACATTACACTAGTGGCTTAGTTGGCTGGTAAATGCATATATAAAGTAATTCGAACCTTCTGCATTTGATATTCTTTGCTGAAATTGCAGTGATTCTCCACCTGAAATTATCTACTACCAGTTGAGTACTCAACGTGACAAAAGTTAGATTTGAAACAAAAAATAATTGAATTACTAAAACGGAACAAAAGTGACAGTTGAGTATTAAACGTATAATTTACTCAAATATAATTCGAATGTAATTTGTAAATATAACACTATTTTATGACACAATTAGATAGATATTAAAATTGTTGTATGACAGATCTTCTTGGATCATGTATAGCATATGCATGACAAAGAACACTTTACAATACTAAACTCAGTCCTGTTAAATCTCATGCCTCATTAAACAACAATTAGATTGCTCTAAGATAGGTTTAATTTAATAATCTATGGACCATGACTCTTGCATGTCGCAAATTTTTAGCCAACTCAATTTATAATCCGACATTGTGCAATCGACCACCAACCATAACCTTCGAAACAACAATGCCTCGCCTTATTGCTTGTATCATAATTTTCCTCCCGATCACCGGCTCCGTCGCCGGAAGAAAACCAAACTATTGCTCGAGGGTGACGGACCACTTCTTTCCATGCATAACTTACCTGGTCGGATTTGAACCGAGACCAGCGGACGGTTGTTGCGGCGGCCTTGAAGAACTCAACCAAATCGCGAGGCATAACGGGATGGGGCCGAAGAACATATGCCAGTGCATTGAAGATATGGACTACGTAATGAACGTTCCGTTCATCGCTTCTCGGATTCAGTCTCTTCCCGACGAGTGTCGTACTCACTTCAGTTTCCCGGTTTCCGTTGCCATGAAATGTTCCGGGTAACGCCTCCGTCGTGCTCAGATTAATACGATGCAATTAGGATTTTGATGTATGCTGAGATGAATTATCTGAAAACTACCGTTTAATGTTGATTAAGTTGTAATGAAACTGTGCTTATGAGAATGATGAATCTACTCCATCTTTATATAGGGATATTCCTTGATCGAATCGAAATTTTGAAATATTCGAATTTAATTTAAATATAATTAAATTTATACTCGTCATTCAATTTGATATAGATTTAGAGTAAAAATTTTATATCTATTATGATTTAATTTGAAATAAATATATAACAATTATTTTTATTAAATAAAATAAGAATCTAAATAAAGAAATATAAAGGGTTACTAACTTATTATAATAATTACTGTTAAATACGAAAAGATTAATGATTTAAGGACAATTTTTGTCTTTGTGTAGACCCAATGTATTATTTTTGTTCTTATGATTTTTTCTCAAGTTGGTCTTCGAAATTGTTAACGGTATTTATCTTAGCCCTTGAAGCCCGTTAACTGTTTTGACTAACAAAATTGTAAATCTTCTGTGTCTATGGATTAAGGGATTAAGTTAAAATATTTATTAAACACAATGATTAAAATAAATTCTCAAAATTTTATTATTTATTTCAATGAGATTAAGAGATCGGGTCAAATTTTTAAGAATTTTTCTATCTGATATATTTAGTAAATATTTTAAATATTTTATTATTTATTTTTCAATAAATGTTACATCATCATTAAGTCATGTCAGTAATATTGGATGATCTAAAAATTGTTGAAGTTGGTAAACATCGAAAACTTACGGTTATATTAGTCAAAACGAATTTTAAAGACTAGATGAATATCCTAAACAACTTCGAGGATGACAAAAATAACCTTTAAGTCAAGATTGATTATATTATTATTCTTAGTTTAGATTAAATATATTTCATCTTAAACTTGACATTATTCTTTTTTTAAAAAAAATCGATTTGAATTCGATTTTTTAAATGATTGTATCAAATCAGATCGAGCCAAAATATATCAAGTTCGGATCGAATATCCATTTGTATACGTGTGTATGTCAATGGAGGGGTGACACATGTAGGATAGCTTGATCTGCAAAATTCCAAAGCCATGAGGATGACCCTAAAGGCAACACCTTATTAGGGTTTTCTCAGCAAAGAGCCAACACATTGCAAGGCTGCGCTTTGTGTAGGTGACACATCCCCCTTTGTGCATGCTTATCCCTTAATCATCTTCCTCCACGCATCTCTTCACCCATACCTAACTTCTTTCCAGACTTTTCCACACTTCATTATATAGTTTATAAATATTATTTTTTTATAGTAAATACACAACAATATATATTCGAATATAATTGTTAATCATTTAATATTAATCACACACTCTTTTAATATCTCTATACTCGGATCAAAAATTTCAAAGAATAATAATAATTATTTTACCAAACCACTCTATTTGAACATAAGTATTAATTATTTTAATATTCATGATTATTCTTTTTAATATTATATATGATATGAGTTTACTCCCCCATGGCTCCTATATATGTAAGTCCCCCTCCAAAGTCCTTTGTCCCCATATCACTCAACACTTTATTCTCTTATAATCGATTACCGGCCCCCATGAGCACTGCCTGTGACCCTTCATACCATCATCTCTCCTTGAACATGCCCTTCAACGATATTGAAATCCCTCCGAGGAAACTCCAGCTATGTTCCAACACCGCCGTGAACAAACTTCATGAACAAGACGACTGCGGTGGGGCTGATGATCCCTACGGCGGTGACCATTTCCGCATGTACGAGTTCAAGGTGAGGAAGTGTACTAGGAACCGGAGCCACGATTGGACCGATTGTCCCTTCCTTCATCCTAGAGAGAAGGCACGCCGTCGAGACCCGAGACGGTTCGGGTACGCCTCCACCATCTGCTCCGACTTTCGAAGCGGCGGCGGATGCCCTCGCGGGGACGACTGCGAGTTTGCTCACGGGGTGTTTGAATGCTGGCTCCACCCTACACGATACAGAACCGAAGCTTGCAAAGATGGAAAGAAATGTAAGCGTAAGGTCTGCTTTTTCGCTCACTCTTCACGTGAGCTCCGTCTCTTGCCGGAGCCGCCATTGCCGAAGTACAAAAATCCAGACAACAACAACAACAGCCATTGTTGCTTGTTTTGTCACCCTGTTACCTCGTCCCCCACGAGTACTTTAATGGGCCTGCCTCAGTTTTCAAGATCGCAGTCTCTTTCGCCGCCTCTGTCGCCGTTAAACCAGCAGACATCCGGATTTTCACGGGTCTCGAGGTACAATGATCGTTTAAGTAAGCTTGGGACAGAAATGACGAGCAGTTACGATGATATTTATTTCAACGAGCTGATGAGTTCGTTGGAAACCATGAATCTCTATGATGTTACTTCGCCAATGGCTGCTGCCCGAAATGCAGACATTAATAATCCCTGGCTTGATGTTTCGTCCGGCGGGGAAGATGATTGGCAGCAAAACGGCGCCGTTTGTGACCCTGATCCTGATCTTGGCTGGGTTAATGAGCTGCTCATGTAGAGAATTGAAGGATGATCAACGATGATATGATGATGATGATGATGATGAAGACAACATACACACACATATATGCGTATGTATGTATATGAGATGTTCAAAGTGTATATATTTATGTGTGATTCGGGTTAAAGATTGCCGATTTGATAATTGCTTCAAGCTTTTGATTTGTGTTTGATTCCTTTGTCTGTGAACTTCTCAAGAGATTTGATAAGAATCCTTTATTTTTGTAACATTTAACTTCTGAATTAATTGATGAAGCCAGATCTCCATTTCTCCTTGATAATGGTTATGTATATATATATATATATATATATTTTTTTTTTTGTAATCAGTGGCGGATCCAGAAATAAATTTAAAAATTGGTCTAAAATTTTAATTTTCTTTTTTTTTAAATAATGGGTATATAAAATTTGTAATTTTTTTCCTTAACACATTAAGTTAAATTTAATCACTTTTCTAAAATAATGGGATGCACTTAGGTCCTATGGGTATATATTTATGTATATGCATGTATATATGTTTGCAATGCATATAATTGAAATGCATGTATATGTATGTATATATGTTGATTTACGTGGTCAACCTAATAGCATCAACTAGATTTTTGGGTTAAAAATATATTAGATGATTACGTGGCAAACATGCAAGCATTCTGCAGGGGAATTAACCAGAACCATTTAATGCTTTGTAGTTTGTATAATATCTACAGAAACTTCGATAATGCTTATATTTTTAGAAATTTACCATTTTAAAAAACATAAGTAATTTAATATTTTTTAATCCATTTTAATCCTACATTATATGTAGGATTTTATATTAGAGGGACTTTATGTTAGAGTGTCGAATTTGATTTTATGTTAGATTTTATGTTGGAGTGACGAATTTGAGTTTTTTTAAATTTCATAGGACAAATTTAGATTATAAGAGTGACGAATTTGAATTTTTTTAAATTTGATAAGGTAAATTTAAATTTATAAAAATTTAGGGATGAATTTGAACTTATAAAATTTCGAAAGTAAAAACATATTTTTAATAAGAAATACATAAAAAAATCTAAATTATACAATAGTTTTAAAAACTGCTCCAACTTGTCCCTCAATTTGTCCCTCCTCGATTCATCTCACTCGCCCTCTCGATCTATTTATGTACTTCTCGGTCTGTCTATATACACAAGGACACGATATTATCATACTATGGTAAACTACATATTATCTCTCCTCGGTCCATCCTACCCGTCTCCCTCGGTTTATCTCTGTACACAAAGACATGACATCCATCTCTATACATAAGGACAGGTCTATCTATCTACACAAGAACACGACATTATCATACTATGGTAAATTACATATTGTCTCTCTTCGATCTATCCCACTCGCCTCTTTCGGTCTATCTTTATACACAAAGACACTACATCCATCTCTATATACAAGGACACGACATTATCATACTAAGGAAAATTACACATTAGTCATTGTAATTTAAAATCCAATATTATTAGTCATTACAAATAAATTATAAAAATTAATATTACAACGGAGCCAAATCGGATCACCGATAAGTTCACATAATATATTGACAGTAGAAATATTCATTCTGCCAACGTATGAATAGTGATTATGATTCTACACTTAACACCAAAAATAAATCCTTATCATAAACAAAAAATGGATTTCCTTTTCTTTTCTCCCGTTAGGAAATTAAAAAAAATCACATATTATCTTTAACCGACTATCGATACTAAACCTATCAACTGTAATTTTTCATGTAAATCAAAAGGAGTAAACGGTCTATAGTTATTGTCATTTGAATATTATCATCAACCGTTATATTTATAATAATGTATAATTTTTATAGTGTTTTATAATTTATTTATAATATTTATATGAAATAGAACTAAAAGTTGAAACATTATCGAATTGTGTACATGGGTACCGAATGGTGAGGTTTTCACAACAATGGTGTGTGGGGTTAGGTTGTAAACGAGTTGAATTTTCAAGCTCGACCCAAACTTGAAAATATGAATTGAAGCTCGTCAAAGCTCGAAATGAAAAAAATCTTAAATTTAACTCAATTGAAACATTAAACTTGAACCTTAAATACATGAAAATCATATATTACATTTTTTAGAAAAAATCAACACATAAATATTAATATCATTAATATTATTTTAAAAAAATAAAATCTTAATATATTATATTTTCGAGTTGCTCGCAAGCTTTTCGAGTTGAGTATCAAATAGTTTGTTTGGCTCGTTAAGAACTTAAGTCGAGCTCAAACACAAACTCGAGTATTTATCGAGCTTTGATCGAGTTGATTTTTAATAACTCACGATCTGTCTAGTCTCATTTATTACGAGGTGGGTTAGGAAAAAAAACCCCATCGCCCATGCTAAAATGACCTTAGCTAGGGGAGGAGCTCTGCCTTGAGTCCCCACCTACTCTTACCTTTTATTTTGTTGGATCACCATTTTGCATTTTTTATTCATTATTTGTGATATCTGGGTGTCCTCTATGGACCCCAAACGCCCATACTTTTACACCTTGATGACTCATTGGCCCTCATAGTCTAGCAAGGTATGGTGCCAACACCGTCAAATGGATTGGCCATTTTGCATCATACATTTGTAATTATAGACATTGCATCATATGCTCATTATTTTATTCATTTATCTGTTTTAGTTCACCGTATTCAAAAACGAATTTGAATGAAAAATTTTCTTTTGAAATTAGACCACGACTTGATTTATACATATTATCTTACAAATGACCGATTGATTAAGTTATTCATCTTTATTCTCTCACATTCTCATAGATTACGAGGTTTAGACTTACTAAGAGCATTCTTCTCCTCCTCCCCATTAACATCAGACATCCTCAAATTATGACATGAATTTCAATTGATCATCAAATCTTAAAATGTTCTAATTAAATCCTCAAGTATCTATCAGTCAAACCATTAATTGAGTGCTATTAAATGCTCGCTAAATCTCACCTATAACATAGTTAAAGTAATGATCAAATTATGCACATATTATTGCATAAACCTATAAGAGCAAAATAAATCAAAATATCACTAAATTATATCCATATATCATTTTGAATATTAAACTTTTAAATGTTATAAAATAATCGGTTCATAATAATAATCCGAAGCTTATATTCTATTTCCCTCCCTTAAATTTATAATTAGGTTTGCAAACAAACACAGACAAGCGTTTAACTTCGAACGAACAAATAAACGAATGAAATTTCTTATTCGTATTCATTCATTAAGAAATTAAACTTGTTTATGTTCATTTATATTCATTCGTTTAAAATATAAACGAACGCAAATGAACGAACGTAAATCAATGGAAATCAATATAAATGAACAAACATAAATTTATTTGAGTTTATATTTGAGAAGAGTTTTTTTTTTCAAATAATTTTAGGATTTATATTTTCTTTAATTGATTTAAATATTTTTTTATTTGAGTTTAAAAATATTAACGAGTTTAATTAAAATTTATTAAGTTTTAATATTGGTCTGAAAAGCATAAACGAATAAACATATATGAACAAACAATTATTATTCATGTTCATTCATTTAATTAAACAAACATAAAATATTGTTCATGTTGTTTTAATAAATAAACAAGCATAAATGAACTTCTCGCCGAACGGTTCAGTAACAATTTACTGAACGTTCGATTCGTATCCAGGCCTATTTGTAATGATAATAGAAAAAATATGAATTTTTCTCATGAGCAGATGAAATTAAGAAGATAATTTCACGTACTACACCCTTCGGGTTTTTATGTCTATTCGTTCAATGTAAACTTTAGGATGAAAAAAAAACGAAGTTAAAAAAGAAAAGTCTAAATGAGGGTTAAAACTACACAAATCAAAAAGCAACCACCAAATTCTTGCCTTCTTTTAACTTTTAACTATCCTCTCTATACTCCGGATTCTCTTTCAAAATAACATGCCCCTCCAGTATGGGTGACAGCGGGATATACCTGCCAAAAACGGGAGAGATCGTTAGCAAAGTCCGACATCTCGTATAAATCACGCAACATTCGATGTGGCTCATCGATGAGGTAACTTACTTTTCGGTAGCCAGCTCTGCTCTATCACCGGCAGCAAGAAGAACTGGGGTGGAATGGGTTTGGAAGCCAGTGATGGTCTTGGGTCGACCAGCTTGCCCAACAACATCAACAGCTTGACCCACACGGACTGGGACCGATAGAGGTTTGAGGTTTTCGTCAACGGTCATAAACATCCTTGGCTGTAAAGAACACAATATTCCACGATAATGAGAAGAAGAAAAATGAGTTGACAAACACATGGAGCGGGAAAGTAAGTAGTACGACCAAAACCGATTACTGACCTGCATTGCCAAAACAATGAAGTAGAGAATATAATGGTATTTCCCCAATACCATAGCTTTCATATCGAGACATGCATGCAGCATTGTAACCAAACCAGCAAGTGCAGTCCTGGAATGAGAAACAAAAAAAAGATAATTTTTTTGTAAGGGGAACCAAGATGGAGAACCGTGTACATGATTTTGCGATTTTCGTTTTCTACTTTGGTGGATGTTTATGTGGGAAGAAACACTTACGGTGATAGCAAAAAGCGGTCGGAATGATATGGATTAAGAGTCAACAGACCCTTCCCCAAATGTACTAAACCTTGAGCAATTCGCACCTGGACAAGCAATCCAACCTTGGTTGTCTCACAAAGCACATGGTATCATGAAACGAACTATAAAGACAGGCACAAGAATACATACACAGAATAGAAGGCTAGCATCTTTGTAGTAATAACTTGAAAGATTGCGAAGCATGCTAGCTATGCGAGCATTATTTGTTCCAGCACCTATTAAACCCAAGGAGATAACCGCAGCCTGTAGCATCAGTACAAACAATTGAGTCAAGGTGATGGGGAAAAAAACAACACCAAAAAAACCCCTTTATTCGAATCATCTTACCATTGCAACTTCTGAATCTGAATCATGACTCAGCCTGCTTAAAGTGTCCATCACATTAACCTGATAACATATATGTGAAGCAAA